TGATACCATTTGCGCAGTTGGCAATACGTAGCAGATGATCTCAAATCTTCCCCTTGGCTGTTGCAATATACATTGTTCCCAGTCATACATCTCCATTGCCACCATCCTCACCTCACCTCCTGTCTGCCTGTCTCTCTACATACCCTCCTTCTCCTCTCTCTCCCCTCTCCCTCTCCCCTCTCCCCTACTCCCGCAGATCGAGAAGCACGAGCTGCTGGAGTTCAGGCGCATAGCGGCGTTTATCTACAAGATGAGTGGGCGCTGGCGGGCGTCACTCGCTCTCTCCAAGGCGGACAAGCTGTACAAGGACGCCATGGAGACCGCCTCCCAGTCCGGCGACAGGGAGCTCGCAGAGGAGCTCCTCAACTACTTCCTCGAGGAGGTCAGCCCGCTGCTCTGCGCACTCACCTGCTTATCCATGCTCACCGGATTTACTAGCCCACTGCTCCAGTCTCACTGCTCCAGGCTCGTTATTTTTTCGATTCAACTCCTTGTCCTGCAACAACCCCTTCCCTTCCACCCCCTCCCCCTCCCTCCCCCTCTTTCCACCCTTCTATGAGCCCCATCCACCACCTCTCTCTCCTCCCCCCACATCCCCCCTCTCTCCCCCCCCCCCACCCCTTCTTTTCTTGTTTCTTGGCCCTCCTGGCTGTAACCATTCTCTCACTTGTACTGCTTCCTTGTGGGTGGGTGTGGGCATGGGCGTGGTTTGGAGTGTGACTTTGGATTGGTTATGGGGGTGGGTGGGTGTGTGAGAATGGTTACGTGTGTGTTCGTGCGCTGTATGGCAGGACAAGAAGGAGTGCTTCGCTGCATGCCTGTACACGTGCTACGATCTGCTGCGCCCAGACGTGGTGGTGGAGCTGGCATGGCTCAACAACATGCAGGACTATGTCATGCCCTACCTCATCCAGGTGCCGCACCACTCTCTCCTCTCCTCATTCTCCGTTTCCTCTTTCAAGCTGTTCCCTCCCTGGCATGTGTGCTGTGTTTTGTGTACTTCAGCTCTGCCTATGGAGAGTTGTATTGTGTCATCACTCGTGTGGCCTCTTATTTGTGTGCCCTGTGTGTCCCACTGCGTGCGCGCTGCAGTTTGTGCGTGAGTACTCGAGCAAGGTGGACGAACTGGTGAAGGACAAGGAGGCAGCCAAGAAGGAGGTGGAGAAGAAGGCGAAGGAGGAGAAGGAGGTCATCGCCCAAGCGGTGAGATGCCCAAACCATGCCATCTTGCTCAGTCACAAACAAAATCATATGTTAATTCCGTTTTCTGCTTCCTGTGCTCTATCAGAATCAATATGACATCTGATGTTTTGTGGCGGTGGTATTTGTGTGCGCTGTGCAGAACATGTACCAAACGCTCATGCCACTCGCGTTGCCAGCGCCTCCCATGCCCGGTCAAGGCATGGATGGTGGTGCGTTCGGTGGTGCCCCTCCCATGCCGGCCTATGGCATGCCGCCCATGTACTGAGCGGGTCAACATGATGTGGACCGATTAGTAGCTCCAGCTTGCGATATACTGCGTTACGTCGTTTAGAGTTTATTGCTAGGTGAGCCATAGACACCAAAATTCCATCTGCAAACAGGGATCTGTTTCATGCTGTACAAGGAACAAAATTCAGCTTTGTTGAACATACTTCTGACTTTTTTGGCTCAATGAAATTAGGCCTAGTTTGCATTTCCTAGCTCATCCAGGTTGTAAGCAATGGCAGAAGAGTGCAGACATCCATGTGGACAAAGCTGCTTTACACTTGAAACACAGCATATCCTGCTAACTCCCTCCCATCAGTCTCCACAGGCATGTGGACTCTGCTCCAGCTGTATCTCAAACTACTTGCAGACTGACATCTGGCAATCCGTCTCCTCCCAGAATCTGTTGCACCAACAACAGCCCTACTGCCGCCCAGGAAACCGCCACCCACCCTTTCCTCAGCTGTCGCTTCAGAGAATTCCAAGAAGCTGGCATTCGCCTTCACCTTCCCCGTTACCCACAGCCACTTCTCTTGCCATGTGTCAATCACACAGAGCTTGCCATCCAGAGACACTAAAAAGTAGCACTGGCGGAACGACCCTGCCCACCGGTGGCGTGAGGGCAGCGGAACGGCCGGCTCCCACTGCTTGCTCTCCAGGTTGTACTCATGTATCATGTTGCGATCTAGCGTGTAAAACCTCCCGTAACATGTAACCACGTTGGACACTTCAAACCCTCCTCCACCACCACCCCCACCCGCCTGACCAGCTTCAGCAGCACCACCCGCAATTGCCCTTCTTCCTCCCGCTTCAGCCCCCCTTTCCCTTCCCCCTTCCTCTTCTCCTCCCCTCCCTTCCACGTCCCCTTCCCCCCCTCTCCTTCCCCTTCCTCCCTCGGCCTCAACCGCTCCCCCTAATCCCACATCTTCCGCTCTCCCCGCTGCTCCTCCCCCGCCTTCACCCCCTCCCGCGCCCGCGCCCGCGCGCGTGACGCCGAGCATGGCGAGGTTGCTGTCCTTGACGAGCGCCCACTCGTCGCGCGTGAACACGAACACCTTGTGGCGGAACGCGCGGCAGTGGAAGCTGCGCACCTTGCACTTGGTGTGCCGGTACTCCGTCGAAAGCGGCGCCCATTTCCGCGAACCTTCGTCGAGGATTTTCAGAACCAGCCGGCCGTGGGCCTTGTCGAGAAACGAGACGCACAGAAGCTCTTCCAGGATCTTCTCCCGCTGCCGAATGTTGTATATCGTGCCGCCGCGAAACGCGTCGCGCCAGGACTTGCAGACGAGGCCGAGGCGGAGGCGGCGCATGTAGGGCACGCGGGCGAGGCAGCGAATGGCGATTTCGTTTGGCAGGCCGGGGATGAGCAGGCGGTCGTCGATGGCGGACTCCGGAAACGCGTGCGCCGCGTCGTCCTGCGTCGTTATGACGACTATGCTCGCCATGGCGCGGTGCGAGGATGGCGGTGACTTTAGGAAAGGTGGATTTAGGGGAAGAATTTGGTACGGGGTGCTGTGAATACTGTCAACGAGAACCAGGGTTCCTAGCAGAGAAACAATAACGAATTTGTTACGTGCCGAGCGACTCGATCATTGATAGGCGACTTAACAGGAAAGCTGCTTCTAAGAGGAACACACCTAAGCAAGAACCACGCTCGTAGCATATGACCCGAGGTGGGTAAGAATGGGGAGAGGAGACAGGTGATATGGGGATGGGGAGGGAGGATGCTTGCAGGTGCTTCGCCCTGTGCGCAAGCTGATCGTTTATTACGGTTTGGTAGGATTTAACACGTTAAACAGCGGTTGTGTTTGTTTAGCACCCTCGACCGCAATGCAACGAAGAAAAGCGTGGTTTGCGAAAGGCAAACGAAACATGCACGACACCCGCTCGTCGTGAGGACAGATGAGGGCGAGGCGAGGGAGAAGAGTCAGGGCGTGTCTTGCTAGGTGGAAGTACATTCATTTTCGGGTTCTGTTACCCGATAACATTCTGTAACACGTGCAATTGACGAGCGAGCGAGACTGCCCTTCTGGATTCGTTTCTTGCGTCGATATTTTTACGTGTCCTAGATCGTGTGCAGCACGTGCCATGCACTCGAGTAGAGAACATGTACACACACATTTCTGGGTTTGCCAAGCTGTTCTCGGAAGTGCGAAACTCACCAGCACGTTTCTAACGAAATTAACGAAAGCTCGAGGGCATTTTTCCTCGCCGATTTCTGTAACAGATTTTGTAAGGCGGTAGGGTTACCGCTCACGACTTCTAGTTTTTGTTCGGGCGAGACTGTATGTCGGCGTGAAAGAAAGTGGGTTCGCGTCAGGCGGACACAAACCGGTTTCTGTACGTGCGGCCAGCAGTTTTAGAAAAAAAAAACACAATTACGTAAAGAAAAAATCAATTGGCCAAAATACACCCTGCAAGACACGCCCTCAAGGTTGCGCAGCGCAAAATGGAGCACCAACGACGTGGTGCAGAATGGCCGCGTGGGTGCTGCTGCTGACGGAAAAAGACGGACGGATGGGGCAAGGAGGCGGAAGATGACTGACGGAGACGGAGGTGACCGACAGGAATGAGTCAATGGAGACTGCTGTCGAACGTAAAAATATCGAATCTCCTAATGAAAGTCCAGTATGATTGTACAGTGTAAGACGTCGAGATTCATACTTGTACTGCCTGCTTTCACATTGGTGAACGAAGCGAGTGTTCACAAAAACGAAACACCGCCCAACCACAGGTACAGACAGGACAACCAATCTCTGAGCTATACATTCCAACGAACTCCCCAAGCCTGCCCTAAGGACGCGTCACCTGCCTCGATCGAACCTGCTCAGGCTCGATTTTTGATTCGGTTCAAAAAGTTTTCAAACAAATTTAAATGCAATACGCGGGATTTTAGTGCGGTGGACGATCGATCTTCGATTTTGCACGATCGATCGAGGGAGGTGACGCGTCCTAAAGATTGTCGCTGTTTTGAGAGCTACGTGCAACACACCTCAAATGTAGCCATGTCAAGCGCATCGTTCAGATCGGAGGAACAGCTCCCAGGGTCGCACATGAGAAGGTAATGCACTTGAAGCGCCACGCGAAAGAGGCTGTGTGTAGTTTCTTAGGAGGTGATGGGCCCGCAGCACTCCACAGATCGCCAAAACGCCGCCTCGACGCCGCGCTTGCTCGGCAGACTCGGGGCATCCAACACGCGAAGCGGCGCCGGCCGCCGGCGAGGCAGCTCGGAAAAGCGGAAGGCCGGCAGAAGCGACAAGGGTAATAATGACGCAGGCGATAAGCGTGAGAGCAGCGCGACGCAGCCGGCTGGCGGAAGCAGCGCGGTGTCGAGCAGCGAAGTTTCGGGGACCGGCGGAGTAACAAATCAGAAAGCAAATGAGGGGAAGGCGGTGGCGGCGCCAGGCGGGAAATGGGGGGTTCGATCCCGGCATCGAAGCGCGAGCGCGGGGAACAGCGAAGAGCTGCGATTGGGCGGCGATGTGACTGTATCGAAGGGCTCGGATAAATCGCGGCATAGTTCCGACGCGGTGATGGTGCCGCGATCCGCGAGCTCCGAGAAACCCGCCGCCGGGAAAGGCGGCGGGAAAAGCGGCGGAGAAGGGGGAGTTCCCCGCGCGGCGTCTTACAGAGTGGAAAGCTCCGGCGCAGCAGTTGCTTCCGCCATGGCGGAGAATAGGGGGGACAGTGGCGCGGGGGGAGCTTCGGCGGGAGACGGTGTCAGCGGCGGTTCGGGCGCAGGGGAAAGACCAAGAAGTGGGGGATCGGCGGAAGGAGGGCGGAGCCCGTGGCGGAGCGTAGCTGCAGGGCCCGCAGCCGGGGGAAGGACGGGGAACGGCGCAGGGTTGGCGGAACGCCTGATCGGCGGGTTGACTTCCGCTGTAGGGGCGCAAAGGGAAGGCGACATAGGCCCGCGTCCCGATACAAGCGCACGTGATAGTGGCGGCCAAGCTTCGAATCAAGCGCAGCAGCAGCGGCAGGTGTCGCAGAAGGAGCTGCGCGCGGCGCAGAAGGAGCAGCGCATGCAGCAGCGACAGGCGCGCGCGCTGCTGCGCAAGCACGCGGGCGCACAGGCCGGCGCGCAAAAAGGCTCGCACCAGCGATCCGCCAGCGGGGGCGTGCCCAGCAGCAGAAGCGGAGGAGGCGGAGGCGGACGCGGAGCGGCAGGGGGACGCGGCGGAGGAAGCGGAGGGGCGGGGGGCAGGGGGGGGCACGTGACGGATAAGGTTCTGTGGCGGTTCGAGGTGAAGCCGGGCGGCAGCAGCAATGCCACGTCAGCCACATCCACCCCGTCCCCGTCCAAACCCCTCCAATCACACGCCGCAGGGTCGCTTCCTGCCACGCCAGGCAGAGCTTCCGGCCAATCAGGAAGCAGCAAAGGCGGCGGCGGCGGCGGCGGCGGAGGAGGAGGAGGAGGGGCAGAAGGCGCAGGAGGAGGGAGTTCGTTGCTGGGGCAGCGGACGTTCAGCGGGGTGTCAGCCTCGTCATACGTGGGCCTTCCCCCCTCCGCCTCTCTGCCCGGCCCCTCCTTCGGAGCCCAATACAGCGGCACGCTCAGCGATCCGGGCGGGCCGGGTTACGGCGGTTACCACCACCGCGCCATGCCGTCCGACAGCAGCATCGACAGCTGGCAGGGCGGCGGAAGCGGGCTGATCCATGGCCTCGCTCCTGCTGCGGGTGGTGCTGGTGCGGCTGCTTCTCCTGGGAGTTTAGGCCCTGGTGGTGGTACTGGTATTGGTACTGTGAGTGGTGGGGCGGGGTTCAGTGTTCCCCCGTTCTCCCCCCACGCGCTCTCAACGCTCTCAGGCAGCCGCTCAGGCAATTTCTCAGGCGCGCTCTCTGACGCCGGCGGCAGTCCCTTTGGGTCCATGCCTCGTGGGGCGTTTGCTGCTGCGCCCTCTGCATGGTCAGGCGGCGCAGCAGCACCAGGAGCAGGAGCGACAGCGGGAGGGGTGGGAGGGGGTGACAGTGGTGGGAGTCTGCTGCGGCTGGCGCCGGGTGAGCTAATGGCTGCTCTCATGCAGCAGCAACCAGGCATGATGCCGCCCAGCCCGCTACAACCCAGTCTCTTGCAGCCCAGTTTACTCCAGCCGAATCAGCTGCAGTCAAGTCTGCTACAACCGAGCCTGCTACAACCGAGCCTGCTACAACCGAGTTTGTTGCAGCCGAGTCTGCTACAGGCGTTGCTGCCTGGGCCTGGCGCCCTCCCCCTCCCTGCTTCTGTTACTGCGCCACCAGCTGCACCCAACACTGCCTTTGCCGAGCCTGCTGCATCTGGTCTGGACGCTGCCATACCTGCAGGCACGGATGCTAACACTTACACGTATTTGGGTGGGAACAGAGAGGCAGAAGATCAGGCAGGGAGAGATGCTGACGTGGACTCTGTGGATGATGACAGGGATGATGAGTCACAGGACGAAGGAGCTGAATCAGAAATTGAGGGAGAGCGAGTGGAAGGGTTCCGAGCCACGATTAGGGCAAAAGCAGGGATAGGTTCGGCATGGGGACTGGGTTCCAAGCCTCGATCCAGCCTGCTTCTAACTCCCTCCGAACCTCCTTCAGAAACTAACTCAAGTACGGGCTCGGAAGAATTAGGGTTAGGGTATGGATACGGCCGTGCCGAGCCTCTTGCGTGTGGCACGTTGCCAGCCATGTTTCCGCCGATCCGGCCGTCCAGGCTCGGAATTTGCCCGGGGCGGGAGCTTGGGGAGGTGGTTGCATTTCAGGTGGCTCAAAGGGGGGAGAGGAAGGGAGGAGGGGAGGAGGGAGGAGAGGAGGGAGGCGAGGACAGGGGGTCGGATGGAGGGTGGGGAGAGGAGGAGGACGATGATGATGTGTATGCAGAGGATGAGATTGATAACGAGGCTCTGGTGGCCGCCTTAGAGGATGGACTCATGGCCTTCAGACAAGACAAGGTGACGCCCGCCCCACAGTGCAGTGCAGTGCACTCTGTAATAAGTTTGACAGAAGGTTTGTTGTGTTGCCCTTTGCCTCTTTCCGTTCCCTGTGTTGCTAGCCGCCCGCGCAGCATGTGTAGGTGTGGCGCACTGTTGGGTTGCTTTTGAGTCGACTCAAAAGTCTTTCCGTTCCCTGTATTGCTAGCCGCCCGCGCAGCATGTGTAGGTGTGGCGCACTGTTGGGTTGCTTTTGAGTCGACTCAAAAGTCTTTCCGTTCCATGTATTGCTAGCCGCCCGCGCAGCATGTGTAGGTGTGGGGCACTGTTGGGTTGCTTTTGAGTCGACTCAAAAGTCTTTCCGTTCCCTGTATTGCTAGCCGCCCGCGCAGCATGTGTAGGTGTGGGGCACTGTTGGGTTGCTTTTGAGTCGACTCAAAAGTCTTTCCGTTCCATGTATTGCTAGCCGCCCGCGCAGCATGTGTAGGTGTGGCGCACTGTTGGGTTGCTGCTGGACGTCCGCGAGTGCTGCCTGCCGTCTCTCTCCCTTCCGCCTCCCACACCTTTTCCCGCTCCCCTTTTTCTGTCCTCTCCCTCCCTCCCTTTTGGCTGGGCGTGTGGCAGAGTGAGAACGCGAGTGAGAGCTGCTCTGTGCTGCTGGACGCCCTGCTGGACATCTGCGAGTCCACCTTCGGCTTCATTGCCTCCAACTTCCGCATGCCCCACGGCGACCCCTGCCTCAAGGTGTGCTGTGCGGTGCCACCCCTGCCTCAAGGTGTGCTGTGCGGTGCCACCCCTGCCTCAAGGTGTGCTGTGCTCACTGATAAGAAGGTGTGCTGTCTGGCAAGAATACGGCTTGATGCATGGCCTCGGCCATTCTCAAGAGACCAAACCTCTCTTCCTGCTCCCCCAACTCATTCCTCCAACCCTCACCTCACCCGGGTTTCCTGGCCTGTTGGGGTATTAATCAGCCGCCTCCTGTTTCTCTTCAATCAGCCGCCTCCTGTTTCTCTTCAATCAGCCGCCTCCTGTTTCTCTTCAATCAGCCGCCTCCTGTTTCTCTTCAATCAGCCGCCTCCTGTTTCTCTTCAATCAGCCGCCTCCTGTTTCTCTTCAATCAGCCGCCTCCTGTTTCTCTTCAATCAGCCGCCTCCTGTTTCTCTTCAATCAGCCGCCTCCTGTTTCTCTTCAATCAGCCGCCTCCTGTTTCTCTTCAATCAGCCGCCTCCTGTTTCTCTTCAATCAGCCGCCTCCTGTTTCTCTTCAATCGGCCGCCTCCTGTTTCTCTTCAATCAGCCGCCTCCTGTTTCTCTTCAATCAGCCGCCTCCTGTTTCTCTTCAATCAGCCGCCTCCTGTTTCTCTTCAATCAGCCGCCTCCTGTTTCTCTTCAATCGGCCGCCTCCTGTTTCTCTTCAATCAGCCGCCTCCTGTTTCTCTTTAATCAGCCGCCTCCTGTTTCTCTTCAATCAGCCGCCTCCTGTTTCTCTTCAATCAGCCGCCTCCTGTTTCTCTTCAATCAGCCGCCTCCTGTTTCTCTTCAATCAGCCGCCTCCTGTTTCTCTTCAATCAGCCGCCTCCTGTTTCTCTTCAATCAGCCGCCTCCTGTTTCTCTTCAATCAGCCGCCTCCTGTTTCTCTTCCTGTCTGCTTCCCCACTCACTCGCCTTTGTCTCCACCCTCTGTATATCATATCTCTCTCGTTCCCCGCCGTGACTTTTGAGTCGACTCAAAAGTCAACTCGCCTTTGTTCTCCACCCTCTGTATATCATATCTCTCTCGTTCCCCGCCGCCCTTCTATTGCCATCGCAGACCCACGCCATAACAAACATTCTCTGGACCGACAAGCTAAGGACGTGGTTCGCCGACCACTCGGCAGCCGGTCTTGTCTTCACAGATGTGTCCGAAACGGGCCTCTTCGGCCGGGCGGCGCTGAAGGGCGAGGCGGTGTGGAGCGACGACCCGCCAGCTGGCAGCCTGCCCAAGGGCCATCCACGTGTCAACACCGCATTCGCCATGCCGCTTATCTGTGGTAAGTGCTCTGTTTGCTCTTTATCGCCCACACTTGCTCGCGCTACCTCTACTCTGTCTACCCCACTCTCGTTCTCTCCCACTCGTGCTCGCTGCCCTCTTTCTGTTGGCTGCTTGCTTCAAAATGCGTTAAGGAGTCCCCTGCGCCAATGTGTGCTCTGTCACTGAATGTGCCATTGAACTTCACCACACCCACCACCATCCACCCTGTCTGCTGCCCCTGCTGACCCTGCTGGCCCTGCTGACCCCACCCAGGCACGGCCATAGTGGGCGTGGCGGTGGTGGCGAATCGCATAGGCGGGTACAGCCACGGACTGCTGCGCGCCGTGCACCCATCCGCGCCCTTGACTGAACCCCACCCTGCATCCATCCACGCCTTTAACTGAACCATGCCCACCACCATCCACCGCCCCTACTGTCCTTGTCGTCCCTCTTGCTCCCACCCAGGCACGGCCATAGTGGGCGTGGCGGTGGTGGCGAATCGCATAGGCGGGTACAGCCACGGACTGCTGCGCGCCGTGCACCCATCCGCGCCCTTGACTGAACCCCACCCTGCACCCATCCACGCCTTTAACTGAACCATGCCCACCACCATCCACCGCCCCTACTGTCCTTGTCGTCCCTCTTGCTCCCACCCAGGCACGGCCATAGTGGGCGTGGCGGTGGTGGCGAATCGCATAGGCGGGTACAGCCACGGACTGCTGCGCGCCGTGCACCCATCCGCGCCCTTGACTGAACCCCACCCTGCACCCATCCAGGCCTTTAACTGAACCATGCCCACCACCATCCACCGCCCCTACTGTCCTTGTCGTCCCTCTTGCTCCCACCCAGGCACGGCCATAGTGGGCGTGGCGGTGGTGGCGAATCGCATAGGCGGGTACAGCCACGGACTGCTGCGCGCCGTGCACCCATCCGCGCCCTTGACTGAACCCCACCCTGCACCCATCCACGCCTTTAACTGAACCATGCCCACCACCATCCACCGCCCCTACTGTCCTTGTCGTCCCTCTTGCTCCCACCCAGGCACGGCCATAGTGGGCGTGGCGGTGGTGGCGAATCGCATAGGCGGGTACAGCCACGGGCTGCTGCGCGCCGTGCACCCATCCGCGCCCTTGACTGAACCCCACCCTGCACCCATCCACGCCTTTAACTGAACCATGCCCACCACCATCCACCGCCCCTACTGTCCTTGTCGTCCCTCTTGCTCCCACCCAGGCACGGCCATAGTGGGCGTGGCGGTGGTGGCGAATCGCATAGGCGGGTACAGCCACGGGCTGCTGCGCGCCGTGCAGCCACTGCTGTCGCTCGTGGCCTCGCTGCTCTTCTGCCTGCACTGGCGCAACGACGGCGGCAGGGACCTCGGAAGACGTGTCGTCAGCCTTGCACAGGTGCATGGAGAAGGGTCTTATATGGGTAATTGGGTGGGAAGAGGAAGAGGAGCAAGTATTTTCTTCAGATTCAGCAGTGGGACTGTTATCACTCGCTCAGCATAGCATGGCTGCAAACCTTTGGGGCAATGTCTGCGCAGGCATGTGTGAGAGGCAGAGATTCCAGTAACCGTGTGTGCATGTGCATGTGTGTGCACCTGTGAGCCCACAGGACGTGTGTGCACCTGCTATCCATGCCCGTGTGTGCATGTGCATGTGTGTGCGCATGAGCATGTCTGCATGCCCACATGCCCATGTGTTCATGTGCCCATGTGTTCCTGTGTGCACCTGCGAGCCCACAGGACGGGCGCATAGAGGTGGACGGCAGGGCGCACATCACATGCATGGATGCTGCCTTTTGAGTCGACTCTCAAAGTCACCGCGTGTTCATTTGCCCGTGTGTCCCTATGTGTATGTGTCCCTGTGTGTATGTGTCCCTGTGTGTATGTGTCCTTGTGTGTATGTGTCCCTGTGTGTATGTGTCCCTGTGTGTATGTGTCCCTGTGTGTATGTGTCCCTGTGTGTATGTGTCCCTGTGTGTATGTGTCCCTGTGTGTATGTGTCCCTGTGTGCCCCTGTGTGCATGTCCCTGTGTGCATGTCCCTGTGTGCATGTCCCTGTGTGCATGTGTCCCTGTGTGCATGTCCCTTTGCACCTGCGAGCCCACAGGACGGGCGCATAGAGGTGGACAGCAGGGGGCGCATCACGTGCATGGATGCTGCTGCCTGTGCCATCTTTGGCGTCAACCCCCTCACTGCCGCCCTCATGGCTGCTGCACCCGCCACGTCAGCAACAGCCGCCACGTCAGCGGCGGACCTTGCCAGCGAAGCAGACAGCGCAGCGGTTTCTGCAGAAGGAGAGGGAGCAGCTGCGTCAGCAATGGCACCGGGGGCGGTGTGCCCGCCCCTTGGCCAGCTGTCAGTTGCTGATTTGTTTTCTCGGATTGGGGATCAGCCAGTCACAGCAGACGTTGACGTGGAAGGTAGGGCAGCCATGGGGGGTAGGGGGCTTCGCCTCCCTTCCATTATGTCTTCTCTTTCCAGTCGAAACAAGGTCATGTCAAATTGGACCGCTTAGCTCATCATGAATGTCTGTTCTATCACAACTGCTCTCACCCCCTCCTTCCCACCCATCTCTCGCTCTCATACCCTTCCTTGATCTTCCTTAATGTGCTGCATGTGTTCATCCATTAACTACTCTCCATCGATGCCTGCACTCAGCCACTTGGGTCTCTCCCATTCCTGCCTCTCCTCCCCACTGCACACCCCCTCCCCAACCCCACCACCACCAGCCATTGCACAGCAGCTGCAGACTCCTCACCCAGCAGTGGGCAAGCAGCAGGGCGGAGCTCACATTCTTTTTCAGATGAGTCTTGAGTCGACTAAAGAAAAACCTCTGCTATTCACCCTCCCTCCCCAACCCCACCACCACCAGCCATTGCACAGCAGCTGCAGACGCCCCACCCAGCAGTGGGCAAGCAGCAGGGCGGAGCGCACATTCTGCTTCAGGTTAACCTCTGCCCTCATGCTCCTGCTGCTGGTGGCAGCAGCAGCAGCAGCAGCAGTGAGAGCAGGGTGCACAGGGCAGTGGTGCGGCTGCTGGCTCGCTCCGACTGATGGAAGGACAGAGAGTATGCTCGTGCCAAGAGCATTGGACGGGCTTTGAGGCGCCTCAAAAGCAGTGAGAGAAGGGTGCGCAGGGCAGTGGTGCGGCTGCTGGCTCGCTCAGGCTGATGCCACGGCAGAGGGAGGGTACCATGCTTGTGTGAAGAGCAGCGGACGTTCTTTGTGCAACGCTGCGCCACTCAGCACTGCTACCACCAGCAGCAGGAGCATGAGGGCAGAGGTTGACCTGAAGAAGTATGTGGGCTCCACCCTGCTGCGCTGCGCAGCACTGCAACTACTGCACTCTAGACGACTTTTGAGACGTCTCAAAAGTCTCTGTGCCACGCTGCGCTACTTAGGCAGCACTGCAACTGCTGCTCTCTAAGGCACGAGGTCCGTGGCTGTGGCTTGCCAGTATGCGGAGGACCATTGGGGGAGTGTGTGTGTACAAAGGAATATGCAGTGATACTGTATTTGCAAAAAAGAGGATACTGGTTAAGGCGAGGCTGCCAAATGCTGTAGGGGCTGACAGACTTGAGGGCTGGGTAATGGGTAGGTAGGTACCGTAGGTAGGCAAGGCAGGCACCCACTGTTGAAAAAATCGGCCCAGCTTGAAAGGCCAGTACAAAGACACCTCATGCTTCAGTGCAAACTTTACAAACAAGAGATGTCCAGTGTACTAAATTTCAGTACTGAATTCAGTACACTTACAAAAGTGTACTGAATTTCCATTACAATTTTACTGTTACCAGCACATACACCTTGCAATAGGTAAACCCCCCTCTTACATGCACCGACAGTTAGGGAGGGCGGAACACTTGACGGGCAGTAGGGGGGGGTGAGTGGGCAGCAGCAGCATGCAGGCAGTGGGGGGTGGCACCTCCAAGACGTGCCGCACCTGCTTGCCCCCCACGTGCCGCATGCCTTGAATGCTCCGACACCCCGTGCGCACCTGCTGCTGCTGCTGACTGCTGCTGTGCGTGTGCTGCTGACTGCTGCTGGCGCGGTAGGTGCTGTGGGGAAGGAGGAGGGTGGAGCAGAGCCAAAACACCCTGCTCTCTCCCTTGCACCTCCACTCCCCCTTGCGCGTGCCTTCGCTCCTGCACCTGCCCTATCCGCTGCTGCTGCTGCTGCTGCTGCCCTTGCCCTTGCTGTTGCTGGTTCAGCTCATCCCCATGCGGAAACAACCAGTCATTCCCACCCTCCATTGCTTCATGCTGCTCCCCCCTGTGCTGCCTGCCTCTATTCACCCAACCACCACCGCCACCACCATCACCAACCCCAACACCACCAGCACCACCACCGTCATCATCATCACTACCATGTAGTTCCCCTAAACCAGTAGGGTTACGAGCAGTGGTGGTGTTACAGCGCAGCAGGGCAGAGAGCGTGTCAGTGCTGCCTCGCAGTTGCTGGCAGCTGCTCTCCATCTGTTGCTGCACCGCCTGGTGCCGTGCCAGGTGCGCCCTGCGAACACCACAGAAGGCACAACACAAGAAGGAACTTTTGAGACGTCTCAAATGCTGTGCCAGGTGCGCCCTGGGAACAGCACAGAAGGCACAACACAAGAAGGAACAGCACAAGACAGGCAGAGCACAAGAGAATAGGGCGGGCTGTTTGTTTAAGCCTTTTATGCACCACAGGGGACAGTTGTTCAGGATACTCACAGTCAAACCGGCATAGCCTCTACGAGTAGGAGGTCATGAGGGTAAAGGCCTTACAGGTACAATGATAGGCGGGGCAAGTAGAGAGAAGCACACCTGAGTGTGTCGGCCTGACTCTGCAGCCGCTGCCTTTCCAGCTTCACCTGATGGAAGTACCAGCCAAGGTCGCACACGGTGGGGAGTGTGAGCACAAAGAAGGGGGGGACTCGGAGGAACATCGGAGAGGGAAAGATGCATGGACCTGAGGGAAAGATGCATGGACCTGAGGGAAAGATGCATGGACCTGAGGGAAAGATGCATGGACCTGAGGGAAAGATGCATGGACCTGAGGGAAAGATGCATGGACCTGAGGGAAAGATGCATGGACCTGAGGGAGTGAGTCGATGAAGGAGATGAGTTTGACCAATAATGAAGAAGATGAAGGAGACGAGGAGTGACACACTAGATCCGAATGAAGGAGACGAGGAGTGACACACTAGAAACGAATGAAGGAGACGAGGAGTGACACACTAGAAACGAATGAAGGAGACGAGGAGTGACACACTAGAAACGAATGAAGGAGACGAGGAGTGACACACTAGAAACGAATGAAGGAGACGAGGAGTGACACACTAGAAACGAATGAAGGAGACGAGGAGTGACACACTAGAAACGAATGAAGGAGACGAGGAGTGACACACTAGAAACGAATGAAGGAGACGAGGAGTGACACACTAGAAACGAATGAAGGAGACGAGGAGTGACACACTAGAAACGAATGAAGGAGACGAGGAGTGACACACTAGAAACGAATGAAGGAGACGAGGAGTGACACACTAGAAACGAATGAAGGAGACGAGGAGTGACACACTAGAAACGAATGAAGGAGACGAGGAGTGACACACTAGAAACGAATGAAGGAGACGAATGACACAAGCATGCTTTGCGCTGCACCCAGAAGTTGCAGGTGCAAGTGGCGGCAGAAAGGCGATACTTTGTGGAAAGGCGATACTTTGTGGAGAGACGATTGCAGGCGAGCCTCGGTTTGCCTCCACTGCTGCGCTGCTGCCACGTGCTGCTCTGCTCGCTGCTCCACCTGCCATGCCACGTGGAATGCATGTGGCATGACATGGACAGGTCAGAGGAGGATAGGTGAACAAGGGAGCAGCGGGCGAGCAGTGGGCAGTGGGCAGCGGGCAGTGGGCAGCGGGCAGCGGGCAGCGGGCAGCGCATCAGATCCAAACTCTACCTTCCCAGAGAAAAGGCCGCTTACCGATCCAAAAGGCCCTTCCCTTCTCTTTTGGCTTACCTGCTTGACCCGCTCGCTTAGCTCATCAGCCCGCTTCCTGGAATCTTCCAGGCGTTGCTCTGCGCACTGCTTCTGACCCACAGCCTGGCAAATAGGAGATGTGCGGCATCGGGCAATGGGGGACATAGCGGCACAACAAGGGCATGGGGGCATGAGGGCATGAGGGCACAGGGGCAATGAAGGAATGATATGCTGGAACAGCGGGTAAGTGAGCAGGAGGGGAGGAGGAAAAGGAAGGTGGTGGACAACTGTCAGCATGACGCGATGGGCCGACAAGGCAAGCACAATCAGCGACCTTGCAGGGAGTTTTTGAGAACTCTCAAAAACTCCCTGCAACGCGATGGGCCGACAAGGCAAGCACAATCAGCGACCTTCCAGGGAGTTTTTGAGAACTCTCAAAAACTCCCTGCAACGCGATGGGCCGACAAGGCAAGCACAATCAGCGACCCCGTTATTGTCGCTTTTGAAATTCCTCAAGAGTGGCAATAACGACCCTGGTGCCCTCTGGCCCTCCCCTCTCAGCCTGAAGACCCGCCTCAGCCCTCCGTCCTGTACGAGAGAGTTTCCCAGAACTCAACCTCAACTTAAATTCCCCCCAGCCCCTCCCCAGACGTTTCTCCAGACTCCACCTCTATGAGCCTTGCTTGCATCTGCTCCATTTCTCTCCTGTGTTGCTCCGCCCTTCTTTGCTGCTCCTCCTCCGCCGCCTGCTTCTGCTGCCGCCACTCCGTCTCCACCTGCCGATTGCACGTGAGGCAGAGCGGGTGTGAGGCAAAGGGGGTTTCAGGCCAGGCGGGTGAAAGGACGGCAGGGAGGCAAGGAAGAGGAGTGGAAGAGAGGAATGAATGAGGCGCAGGAGAAGTGGTGAAGTGGCTGACAAAAGCACGGCGAACCACGTGCACGAAGAGAAAGAGAAAACTTAGGCACCTGGGCGCTGTGCTGCTGGGCTTCTCTCAGAGCCCGCTGCAGCTGCTGCTGCTCTTGCTGGTGGGATCAGCCAAGGGACGAGAAGGGAGGGGAGACAAAAGGGAGGCAAAGGGGAGGCGGAGGGGAGGCAAGGGGAGGCAGAGGGGAGATGAAGGGAGAGGAAGGGCCGAGCAAGGGAGGGTCGAGTTGAGATTGGAGAGCGTAGACAAAGGGGGGGAGGGATGGGCTGGAGTCGCGCACACTCCCACTGACCAGCAAGCCACATGTGCGCGCGAGAGTGCATACGCCACACGCACCCACCCCCCCACACCCAGGACACACCCACCCCCCCACACCCAGCACACACCCTGGTATGGTGCCTCGCCTGCTGCAACAGTCACCGTTCCTTCCATCCCTCCCTCACCTGCACCTCCCCCAGTTGCGCCTGAACTGCGGCAAGCTGCTGCGCTGCTCGGGATTGCTCCTGGTCAGAGGGGGATAGGAGAGGTGCAAAAGCCAAGTCGGAGGAGCATGGCCCGAGCACTGTGAAGGCAGGTTGAAAACAATACGAGGGCTGTATGAAAGAAACATGGGGGCAGCATGAGAGGAATATGTATACAAGGGTGGAGAGAATGGTGCAACGAAAACAGAGGTGAACAAGAGTGAGGGGAGGGGGGAGAACAAGAGGAGACGGGTGATGAACAGGGTGTGTGCTAAAGGGGCTTGAGGGTCAATGTGAGAGATGGTGTGGAGGGCAGGCAACCACGCATAAACAACATGAATGCACACATGCATGCACACAGACAGCAGCAGCAACAGCATGGCATAAAAGTGGTCAATGCCAAGAATGGGTTTTCACCTGATTCTCTGCTGTTTTCACCTGAGCATGGGCGGTTTTCAAGGAATCCATGGATTGTCGCTGCGATGCCACCTCAGCATGCAGAGATGACAGCTAGCATAAAATGATTGGAAAACAGGAGGAAGGAGATCAGAAGCAGGCAGGAGCAAGGAAAAATGAGAGCAGGCACGCATGTGATGTGAGTAGCAGCGCCATTTGAAACGGGAGTGCTACAGGCAGTGGACGAGGCCGTCCTGCCAGTGAGGTGCGATAAGAGCATATTTTGAGGCGCCTCAAAAATCGTGAGGTGCGATAAGAGCATAAGCCCTGACCCCTTATCGCACCTCGCTGTCAGTGAGAAGCGATCATAAGCAGCAGCAGCAGCGGCAGCAGCACTGACCTCCTCATGTGCTTCCTGCAATTCTCCTCTGAGCTTCTGAGCCTCCTGCTGCTGGCTGCTCGCCCGCCTGCAAGGCAAATGGGAGCGAAGCATGTGCATGACGCTGCTGGGAGGCACAGCACAGTGGCACGGCGACACAGTGGGACGGTACCAAGGTAGGAATTTACAACGCTCTGCAAGGCAAGCAGCGGGTGACACGGTTTCGCACGTCTACACCTCTAGGCAACGCGAGCCAAGCAGCGGGTCACTAGGCGCTAGCCATCCGCTGCTGACATATCAGGTTGCCAGTGCCCCTCTCTCACCCTGCCAACAACCCCCTACCCAGCAGCACCCACCCTGCCAGCACCCCCCTACCCAGCAGCACCCACCCTGCCAGCAACCCCCTACCCAGCACCACCCACCCTGCCAGCACCCCCCTACCCAGCAGCACCCACCCTGCCAGCAACCCCCTACCCAGCAGCACCCACCCTGCCAGCACCCCCCTACCCAGCAGCACCCACCCTGCCAGCACCCCCCTACCCAGCACCCACCAAGTGACCTACTTAGTTGCTTCCTGAGCCTCCGCAGTCGCCTGAGCTAGCTGTGCCTCCAGCTGCTTCATCCTCGCCTCGCCCTCCCCCACGTGCCTCTCTAGCTCACACGCCCGCTGCTGCTGCTCCTCCGCCTTCCGCCTCTGCACCTCCCTCTGCCGCCGCTCCTCTTCACCCTGCACCCAGTGTAACGAACAATGTGTAGCAGTGGATAAAATATAGGTGAACCTAACTCCGGCCAATCAAATTTCAGAGCTTCGCACACCAAAGAGCTTGAATTATCCGCCCCTCACCTGTGCCTTGGCACGAGCCAGCTCAGCTTCCAAAGAGCTCACAGCTCCACGCAGCTCCCTCTCTGCCGCTGCCCTCTGCACCGCCTCCTCCCTCGCTGCTGCCCTCGCCGCCTCCCCCTCCGCCCGTGCTGCCCTCACCTCACCCTCACATCGCTGCACTAACTTTCTCGCCACCTCCCTCTCCTCCCTCGCTGCTGACACCTCCTTCTGCATCCGTTCACACGTTGCCCTTGTCACCATCTCTTGTGCTCTTGCTGCTGCCCCCTCTGCCTTCGCTGCTGCGAGCTCCTTTTCGGAACATTCCAGCCTCCTCCGCGCTGCCTCGCCCTTCGCCCTCGCAGCTGCCCCCTCAGCCCTGGCGGCTGCGAGCTCGTGTGAGAGCGTCCGAATCTGCTGCTCCATGTCCATGGCCGCCTGGGGGTGGGGAGACACAGGACACACGAGGGCGGGGGGGCGAAGAAGAAGGGGTGACATCACGCCCAGACGACTCAGTGCTGCACTGCACGACAACAGGAGAGAGTATTTGGCTGGTTAGCCATGCCATGCGATGCCATGCCATGCCATGCCATGCCATGCCATGCAAGCATCTTACTCGCAGAAGCGCATCTCGCTCCAGCGATGCAAGACGCTCCTCCATGCCCATAGCCATCGCATGCACGCCTTGCACCTCCTTCGCTCCATGCACGCCCTTCCCTCCTCCCACTTCTCCCACTCCATCCATCTCTATCCCTTGTGCTTCCCCCACTCGCTCCCTCACCACCTCTCTCCCCTCCTCTCCCGCCCTCCCCTTGCTTCCACCACACCTCTCCACCCCAACTGCCCCTGCCCTGCCTGTGCGCCAGTTGCCCCTCTCCTCTGCCCCCACCGCCCCACCTGCTACCCCCCTCTCTCCCGTCACCCCAACCCCTGCTCTCATCACAGCACCATCCCTACAACTCCCGCCTCTGCCTAATCTCGTCTCCCCACGCTCACCCGCCTCCTTCCCCCTTTGCTCCCCTCCCTGCTCATGACCTCCTGCCCTCTCCTCGCGCAAGTCCATGCATCCCCATTCCTCCCCTACTCCTCCTTCCCCACCTCCCCTCAACTCTGCGCCACTGTCTCCTAGCCTCTCCCCCTCACAACCCCTCACTTCCCCCCATCCCACTCTCTTCTCCCTGCCAAGCATACTCCCCACCGCTTCTCCCAGCGTTTCCCCCAACGTTCCCCCCAACGTTTCCCCCAACGTTCCCCCCAACGTTTCCCCCAACGTTCCCCCCAACGTTCCCCCCAACGTTCCCCCCAATGTTCCCCAGGTCATCCCCCCTCGTCCCACCTCCCCGCCACCTCCCTCATCTCCCCTTGCAGTCACAGCTGCCCCTCCTCCCGCCATCTCTGCGCCTCTGACCCCTTCCCCCCTTCCCCCCACTCCCCTCCTTCCTCTTGAATGCCCCTCCTCCCCATCTCTCCTCTCCCCGGCAGCAAAAGTTTGATCTTGGTCCATCCTCCTTCTCTTCGCCCCACCCTCCCTCTCATCCCCACCCACCGGACCTGTTTCCGAACCTGATGCCTCGGAATCTGAGCCTCCTTCCCTACCCACACCTAGACCCAGCCTATCTATGCCCACAGCTCCACCCCCCTTCGCCGTCCCAACCCCTGCCGCTGCTGCTCCCTCCACCCCTCCCCTCAATCCAAATCCCATTCCCCTCACATCCCCTCCCCTTCCCCCATCGCCCTCCTCTCCCTCCTCCCTTGCCCCCCTCCCTCTCACCTCTCCAGACCCCTCCTCCCCTCGCCTGCCGCCCCTCTCCCTGCCAGCGAAAGGACTCTGCCTCACTAGCCGCCGAACGTCGCCACCCACCAGGTCCAGCTGCTGCCGCTGCACTGCCTTCCACTCCCGCTGCTCCCTCTGGTGCTGCTGCTTCTGCTCCTGATGCTTCTTCTGCTGCCTCTGCCTCTGCTGCTGCTGCTGCCGCTGCTGCTGAGTGGGCTGTGGCTGCTGCTTCTGCTTCTGCTTCTGCTGCTGCGGCTGTGGCTTCTGCTTCTGCTGTCCCATCACTCGTGTCTCACCAGCCTCTAATCCCCTCCCTCCTGTGGCCTCCCCTGCACGGCCACGCCCACACCCCACCACACCACCATCGCCCTCTCCCTCTGCCTTGTGTCCCCCACCCACACGCCATGGCCCCAACCCTGTGGTGGCCCTGCGAGCCGTACACTGGGCCTGCTCCCCGCCTGCTGCTGCTGCTACCGCTGGTGCTGCCGCTGGTGGAGCAGCAGCTGCTGCTGCCGCTGCTTCTTCTGCCTCTTCTGCTGCTGCTGCAGGTGCAGGAGGCAATTTCGCACCTCCAGCTGCTGCAGCAGTGGAGCCAGCAGCATCAGCAGCAGCTCTACCAGCGGCAGCACCAGCGGTAGCAAAAACCACAGCCAGGCTAGCAGCAGCAGCAGCAGCATGAGGTAGAGCACAAGTGGCACGTGCAGCCTTGGCGTTGCCTCTATGCTCGTCATCTGCTCCTCTCCTCTTCACGCCCACCATTACTGGTGCACCTGCTGCTGCTGCTGCTGCTGCTCCTCCTCCTTCTCTCACAGCTGTTGCTGCTTGAGGAGACGTAACCGGTGCTGCCGCCGGTGATGCTCCTACCTTTGCCACTTTCCCTGCTTCTGCATCTCCCCCTCCTTCTCCTCCCACAGCCACGTGTCGATCACACGGGCCTACTCTTGCTGCCCCACGTGTGCCAGCAGCAACCCCTGCACTGACACGTGTCGCTCCACGATTGGCTCGCAGCAGTCTGGGGACAGCTGACTGGAGGCCTGGAATCTCGCTTCCCCCATGCTCATGCTCGCCTGCAGATGTGGCAGCAGGTGATTGGCTGGATGCTGGGAAGGCGGCAGGAAGGTTCCGGAGAGCAAAGAGGTCGGCGTATGATTGGTCTGCAGGGCAGGCACGAGTGTGGGGCAGAGAGGGGGGGGGTGGAGGAAAGGATGAAAACTTTCTTTTTCGGTAAGATAATGAGAGTGGTTTCACTCACAGGTTGTACTGGTGAGTACCTGGATGGGAAACGGTCATGGCTTGGGCATGGTGAGTGTGGACGGAGTTGAGGAGACAGAGCGAAACGGAGAGGTCCAACCCAACGACTGTGCACGAACCCTCTCCATGCGCCCACCCATCCCCTGACATCTCTCACACCCACCGTTGCCACCATAGCCGCCAAAGAGGAGCAGTGGCCCCCAGTGCACTACGGAGTGCGCTGCCTCGCTCGCTGCTTTCTTTTGAGTCGACTCAGTCAAACACACCCATCCCCCAACGTCCCTCACACCCACCGTTGCCACCATAGCCGCCAAAGAGGAAGAGCGACCGCCCCCAGTGCACCACAGAGTGCGCCGCCCTCCCTGCTGGCCCCACTGCTCCGCTCCCCCCCCACCCGCCTCTGTCATTCCCCCCCTCGCCCACACGTGCAGGCACGGCGGGCATGGGCGCGGAGGAGGGGAGCGTGGCGATGCGGTGCCAGGCGAGGGAGATGGGTGCAGAGAGATGAGCGGATGGGGGTGATGGCGGTGTGCTGTGTGGCGGGGCTTTGGCCTGGACAAGAGAAGTGGGGTAGGGAGACGAGAGGAAGAAGAGGGTGAGTGATGTGGCTGTGGGATGCTGCCTGCCTGCCTGCCTGCCAGCAAGGAGCCTCGCTGGGTTGCTTGTCAGTGCCATCGTCTCCACTCATGGCAACGTGCATGGTACGGCATGGCATGGCATGGCATGGCATGGCATGGCATGGCAGGGAAGCACGAGAGGGCGCACCTGCAGCAGCCAGAGGTCATCCAAGCGCTCCTTCTTTACGCGCCCCCCATGCACCACTGCCATCCCGCCCCCGACACCTGTCGCAGCGTGATTGGACCGCGGCTGCGCATGAGGCCCCCCTGCTGCTACTGTAGGCTGCTCCCACGCATTGGTTAGCGGGTTGTACGCCCTGGGGAAAGGGAGAGGGGGAAGAGGAGGGGAGAAGGGGGAAGTGTGAGGTTTCCCCTGGTGCCACCGTGAGGGTGGGAAAAAGGCTGCTCCCACGCGTTGGTTAGCGGGTTGTACGCCCTGGGGGTTGGCGGGGTGGGGAGGCGTAGAGAGGAGCAGGGAGGACTGGTGGGCATGGGGCATGGGGCAATGGGGGAGGATGAGGTGGAAGGGGTGCAAGAGCACCTGAAGCTCACCTGAAGAACACACAAGCAACACCTGTAATCACCTGAAGAACAACCAAGAAACGCCTGAAACTCACCTGAAGAACAGTACAGTCAAGCAACATCTGACATTTTTCTGAACAACAGCCAAGCAACACGTGAAAATCACCTAGAGTAAGCGTGCCAGGGACGTACCAGAGGCTGTGCTGCTCCTTGTCGGCCCGCTGCTTGGTCTTCCCCCCAAAGACAATGGCGCGGCCGGCAAGGTTTGTCATGGAGTGGTAGCCGCGCGCAGGGGGCGGGGAGCCTGAGGGGCTCAGGTCATGCCAGCTCAGCGAGTCTGGCGCAGGAGGGCAGCAGGGCGGTTGGGGGGGGGGGGGGGGGGGGGGGGAGGCATGGGAGAGAAGGGGTATCCAGGGGGAAGGGAGTTTGAGGAGCAGGGAGAGAGGGGGGGAGAGGGGCCTGTGTTTAGGTGGTGGCTGATGAGCGAGCAAAAAAGGAGGTGGGGGGGGGTGGGGAGGGGGAAAGCAAGCAGCAGCACTGGGTGGCTTATTCATTCAAAGATGGTGGGTGTTGGAACATTGGGGGGTATTCAAAGACGCGGTGTGGTGTGTGTGTGCGACGCAAAAGGATGGGCCCGCAGGAGTAGGGGAAGGGGATGTCTTCGACTACAGAGCACAGCACAAAGCATTGTAGCGGATTCACCTGTATCGAGTACACAGAGATCATCGAGGAACTCGAGCGTGGGTCCGTTGCCACCGTATCCCCCGTGGATGAGCAGCCACGTGGCATGCTGTGGATGCACCACGGCAGCATGTGTGACACGTGGGTACTCTGCATACCTGCCACGTGTCTGCACCTGCCTCCACTGCAAACGAGTGGAGACAACATGGGGGGAAAGGCGGGAGGGGGAGTAGGAGCACAATGGACGGGGATGGGTGTGAAGTGAGGTAGGGGGGTGGCGGAAGGGGAAGTGATATGGGTGGGTGGAAAGCAAGCAGGTGTGACTGACTTTCCTCTGAAATTTTGCAAAAGCAATGAACAGATGATAAAACGGGTGAGCACTCGTCTCTTACAGCTCGCCTTCTAACCACCCGCGTGCCCACCTCCTTCCCATATGACCACCCTCCCCCGCTTCCCCCACTACGCCCCCATTCTCTTCCCCTATGCGCGCACTCTCCCCTCCTTACGCGCCTCTCTGCCCCGTGGCACCTCCCTTGTTCGCCCGTATTCCCCTCATGCGCCTACTTTCCCCCCTTCTGCGCAGCTTCCCCTCATGTGCACACCTCCCCCCCCGCCCCCCCGCGCGCGCACCTCCCGGGTGCGCGTGTTGAAAGCGAACACGTCGTGCTTCACGGCGCGCTCGTCGCTGCCGCCCACCACCCAGATCTCACACTCCCCGACAAGTGTCGCGCTGTGATAGGCTCGCGGGGAGAATGGCGCGTGCTCGTTAATTAACTCCCATCTGACTGCTCCTCCTCCCTCCGCTCCTCCTACCCCACCTCGTCGCTCTCCCGGTTTGCAACCCGTCTCGCTCCCGTCGCAAGTAGGTCCTGCGACGTCTTCGCAGGCAGAAAGGTCGCACAGCCAAACGTCGTTGGCGTGCGTGCGATTGGCCAATCGCCCGCCCATGACGTACATGCAGCTGCCGACGGGCGTGGCGCTGTGGCCGACACGTGGCACGAGGCCATTTGGTACTGCGCGAGACAGCAACGACAGACATCGTAATCAGGACAGGTTCCCTCGGGCTGCTGACAGAAACACTAATTGATGGGCCCACGTGGTATTTGGACGTGCTATGGGATGCGACAATCAGACAAACGCTCGGGACTGCCTACTAGTCGTTCATGTTTTCGGGCGCATCGTGGTCTGGTTTCACCCACCTTGTAGCTGCTGCCAGAACGGCACGGTGCTGCTACCGCGAGCCATGCATGCTGTGGGGTGGGTTGTCGATTAGAGTTTTACTTTGAGCGCATGTCTCATCGATGCGCATTACCACTTAACTTTCTTGTGCCCACACATTACTATCAACATTAATTTGTTGAAATAACACATCACTAACCCGTTTGAAGAAAAAACATGGCTACTAAACCCGTATGATTGAAGTCTAACAATTAGGTAGGTTTTCCCGTTGTTTCATATAACTCCGTTGCATTTGTGATGCCCTGATCAGAAAGCTCTGGTTGTATGCTCACTACGACATTCGGCAAGGTACGCTTGCAAAATATAAATGGGGGAAACTAAGTTAATATTGAGATACTGCAAGGAACAAAACTGTGTATCATCGACTGATTGGAAGGCTATTTACAATGTAGAGCATCTACAAGTCGATAGCCCTCTTCGAGGTGAACTTGACAACAGCGGGATCAACGTTCTTGCCGATGGAGCGCAGGTTCACGTTGGAGTTGGCACGGCCAGCATTCACCTTCTCGGGGTACACGCCGTCCTTGGGGTGCAGGTACTGCACCTCGCCGCTGGGGAACACGCGGTAGAACTGGTAGTTGATCTTGAACTTTGTCCTGAGCTGGGTGCCGAGCGCGAGGCACTGCTCCTTCCTGGCGAGCTTCAGAAGGTTGGGGCCCGCGCGCATGATGGCGGCACCACCGGTGGGCATCTCGAAGATCTGCTCCTTCTTGGCCTCCCACGTGATCACGTAGAACTCCTCGACCTGGGCCTTGCGGAGAAGGCCGCCGGTGCTGCCGCCGAAGATGGGCGACGGCGTGTCGGACTTCAGCTCGGGAGGGGAGAAGCCGGCGGGAGCCTCCGCAGCCATGGTCAGGCGCGCGGGAGCGGCCTTCACGGCGAGGGAAGCGCCGGCGAAGCTCTTGGCATTGAGCTTCTGGTTCTTGGCGCCGAACACGGCAGCCACGCGGACAGCAGAGGAAGAGGCGACGGCGGCCATTGTGTGATTTTTGCTGGTCAGGCGTGGCTGGGATGAGTTCGGCGGAGAGTGGAGGTCAAGTGCTGCCTGTACAACAAGGGTTTGCAGATGACAGGTGGGAAATGAGAAGCTCCTGATAACAAATGCGTAGGCTCAGCGGCTGTGGACACCCCCTCAATCTCCGCGCTGCTGATCCCGTTTGCCTGGGAGCCGTTGTGGATGACGCTTGGAAAGCAACATTCCAGGCCTATCTTGGCTGGCCAATCAGAGATGGACCTGACCTCGCAGAACCCATGCCGCCAATTCCTGTGAGCCAATCGAACGGAACCAAAAGGTCTAAGGATAGCCGTAGACCAATGAAGGGTCATCCTAGCTGTGCGAGATGCACCTGGTATCGCGGAGTTGTTTTGTCGCTCAAACGATATTTTTCCAAAATTGCTATAGGTAACTACGTTTATACAATATACTTTCAACCATATTTCTAGATGAAGGGAAACAAAATGTTTCAGAAGCAAATACCACAACCCTTCCATTTTTCAACACATCCTAAAAAGGAGGCTACAAAAATGTATTTAGGAACACGATTTCTCTACATCAAATATAAAACATTACTGCAATCGCATTATCTCATTGCCACCTAACTCTTCCTTCAAGCAGTTGAATGCACAGCTGCAGCTGCCTCTACACCTTGAGCTGACCGTCCACTCTCCTGGGCAAGCTTGCAAAACAGTGCCACAGATTCTTCAGGAGTCCCCTGCACCACTCCATGCCCCACATTGAGGATGTGCTTCCTGCCTCCTGCCTTGCTCAAGCAATCAGCCACAGCTGCTCTGATGGACGCCTCTGGACCAAACAGAACCATCGGGTCCACATTCCCCTGAAGAACAACATGAATGAAAGGGGGGAGGGGGGAAGGGTTGGGGAGGGGTTAAGAGGTGGAGGAATGTGGTGAGGGGGGTGGAGAGGTTGGGCACATGGGAAGCATTGTGGGCAAGATACATTCTGACTGACAGCAATGTAATAATAAAACAAACATGGAGAAAAAGGTCAAAGGCACACTGGGAACACCCAAGCCCATGCGAGGCACAGTCCGCCTCACCTGCAGCACGGTATCACTGCCAAACACACGCCTAGCCTCAGCCATATCAGTGCCCCAGTCGAGCCCCACCACGTCAGCACTGCACCCCTGCTGCACCAGGTGCAGCTTGCCGGTGCCGCCATTCCCATGGAAGATGAGCGGCGTGTGCGGGTGCAGCTGCTTCACGCGCTGCACGATGCGCTCGGCGTACGGCAGGCTGAACTCGGCGAACTGGGCGGGCGTGAGGTGGTGTGCCCACGAGTCAAAGAGCTGCACGATGTGCGCCCCACAGCTGATCTGGTGGCTCACATAGACGACTAGAGCATCCTCCAAGGCCGCCAGGATGCCATGCAGCAGCTCCGGCTCTGAAAGAGGGGTGGGTTGAGGGGGAAGCATGGGGACATGGAGAGGCGAGTGGAAGATGAGTGGTGTTTGCAGGTGCCTCACGTACACCACCAGCGCGTCCTCCAAGGCTGCCAGGATGCCATGCAGCAACTCCGGCTCTGACAGTGGTGGGAAAGGGGTGAGGTGAGGGTTGAGATGAGGGGTAAAAAGAGGGGAGAGTCGAGGGAGGCATGGAAGCATGGAGGTATGGAGGAGGAAGGTTGCCGTGCAACGCTGGCTGCTAATTCCCTCCTTGGTTCATGCAAGCATGGCACACTGAAAACCACTCGTTTAGCTCACAGGTAGCCCACCACGCTGCACCCATCCACCTTGAGCATGCGACCACAAGCCTACCCAGCCAGCCACTGACCATGCAGCATCATGCGTTTGGTGGCGAGCAGGTTCTTGCTGCCCTGCCCCTCGATGGCGTATGCTGCCAGCGTCCACGGCGTGCCCACAAACCCCAGCAGCGTCGCCTCGCTGCCCGCCAGCTCGCGCCGCAGCGAAGTGAGGATCTCGCGGATGAACGGCAGCTTGGCATCCGGGTCCTCCAGGGGCCTGCGTGTTGGCCGATGGGGGGCGATGGGGGCGAGGCGAGGAAGAAGGGGGGGTCCGGGGGTTGCTGAGGCGAGGTGCCTCAACGAGCACAATTGCTTGAGTGAGCTTGCAATTCAGCCTCCAACGAGGCAATTCTGGTTGGATTCAGCCTGTGTCAGCTTGCAAGCTTGAAGGCTTGAGCATGATGACGTGGTCTCGGCACATGTCAGGTCAGCGAGGCATTGTCCTCTGGACTTCTTTAGATCCCGGGCCCACTGTTCCATTTCCCGTTTGTTTGTCCCTTAGTGGCCCTGTCTTATAAGGCTACCGACCTGGGTTGTCCACACTCATTTACCCCCCCCCCCATTCCCGCCCGCTTCTCCATTTCCCCCCCATGCTCCCCACATTCTCCGCTTTTTCCCAATCAGCACCCTCACGTGGGTCCACTAGGTCGGCCGTGCTGCCAAGGGAATCAGCATCAGCAAGTCCACCGCTCTTCACCCATTCAATTTCCGTACATCTTCACGAGGAAGGCTCCTCGCCGCCCGCCTCCCTTCCTTCCTCCCCCATTCATCATCCAGCACCCTCCTCGCACCCTCCTCGCACCCTCCTTTCGCCCTCCTCACACCCTCCTTTCGCCCTCCTCTCACCCTCCTTTCGCCCTCCTCTCACCCTCCTTTCGCCCTCCTCTCACCCTCTTTTCGCCCTCCTCTCGCCCTCCTTTCGCCCTCCTTTCGCCCTCCTCTCACCCTCCTCTCGCCCTCCTCTCGCTCTCCTCTCACCCTCCCTCACCCTGCCCTCGTCTCGCCCCCTCCCTCCCCCTTCTCCCCTTCTCCCCGCCCGCCTCCCTACCTTCCTCTTCCACCACTCACTTGAGGTCGCGCAGGTCCGCCGCGGTGCGCAGCGGGTCCGCAATGACAGGCCCCTTGCCCTTGACCATGTCGAATTCCACCCCGAGCGCGGGCAGGATGGTGAGGATATCAGAGAACATGATCACGCCGTCCGTGCCGAACGCCTTCCACGGCTGCAGCGTCAGCTCGATCGCAATCTCCGCCGTCTCCGACCGCATGCGGAACGGATACTTGTCCGAGAACCTGCGCGCAAGGGGGGAGGGGGGAGAACGGGGAAAGGAATGGGGAGGAAGAAGGGTGTTCGTTGCCTTCAAATGAATGCAGAACGGGTACTTTATTGAAGAACTTGCGGGGATGCGGCACCCAAACAGTTCGACTGACAACGATACCTCAGGCGTGGGACACGGGGGAAACGACACAGAGATGGGGGAAGAGGAGGCGGGGAGGGGGGAGGAAGGTTTGAATTGTTGAGGGAGGATAGTTCTTTCGTTGTGACAGCGCTACAGGGTTCGGAAAGGAAGCGTGCGGAGAGGGGGGCGGGGGGCGGAAGCACGTACTTGCGGAAGTCTTTCATGTAGCGCCCCGCCTGGCGCATGAGCCACACGGGCGTCCTCTCCGCGTCTGCCACGCACCACGGGACCGCGCGCACACTTAGTCACGTGCACCGACATGCACACACATGTAGTCGTATGCACGTGTATGAACACACGCTTACTCACACGCGCTCACATGCACTCACACGCGCCGACACCCATCCATACCCTTCCCCACACCTCCACACCGCACAGCACCGCGCACAGCACCGCGCATCACCACACACCACCACGACGAGCTGATTGACAGCAGATTCGTCCTACCACTGATGGAATGCGAAATTATGCGACAACGACGAGCTGATTGGCTGCCTAGCTGACACGCGGGAATTCCGTCGCGAAGAGCATGAGCTTGCCGGATGTTACCAGGCTCAGACACGCAGCCTTGCTTGTAATCCACCACGCTTACACCACGCTCACACCACACTCACACACGAGCTGAGTGACTGCATATAATCGTACGAACATTCACGTTCACATGCTTCGCGCGGGGGACTGACCTTCTCCGCGCGCCACGCGCAGCAGCAGCGGATCCCGCGCGCCGTCGTGGAGAATCTCCGCCGTCGAGCATCGGCACTTCCCGCGCCCCTCCGCCACGCTCGATCCCGCACGCACCGCTCGCTTCGCGGAGGGGAAAGCGACGGAGGTCGCGGCACCGGAGATGCCGTTGCTGGAGGATGCCACGTGGCTGAGCTTGGCGGGAACGGAAACTGCGGTCGACAATCCCGAGGTGGCAGCCATTGTTCCGGAATTACTACAGAAAGGCTTTATTCTGGGAAGTCAGGCCGCAGCGACAAGAAAGTGGAGGGTTAGGCCGCCTGGCGCCAGACAGAGTGAGCTGAATGGCTGTCACAACGTAATGCCCACACTGTTTCGACTGACGAAATCTGTCTGAAACTGACGACCAGTCGCCAGTGCCTAGAAAGCAATGCTCGGTATAGGAAGGAGGTGAATGATGCAGGGAATTGGAGAATGGGAGGATGGGCTGACAGAGCATATGGAAAGCCGAAGCGCAACCCCAGGGATGTCTGGGTGAGGTGACGTGTCCCTCGACGGATTTCGTTGTCCACGTGTTAGGTTTGGGATTGCCGAGTTCGGAACAGGCAGGTCGATTACTGAAACTACTTTTCAGATGATTGTTTTATATTTACAATGGCACACCATAAGTGCAGTACCTATATGTGCTTGAAAAGGGTCTAACAAGAGCGAGGTTTTGCAGGAAGAGAGCCCTTGAACCTGGATCTGTAGCGTGGAATCATCTTCTGCCACCGTGTCTAGAGCATCACCGATTGGCTGAAGTGTACAATCCAGCTCACCGCGTCATCTTTTCCCTCCATTCAGCGCACGAGGTGTACGCTCTCCCCCAGTGCCTTCTCAACGCGCGCAGCACTCGCGCGACATGGAAATTCTGATTCAGGGCATCCACACACTCTTCCCCAGTTTTTGTGCTGCATTCTCAATTCACTTCCTTTAGCACGGCCAAAATCGGTTTCCTATGACATATGTACGGTACAGTGCGTTTCGCATCGATTCCTTGAGGAATTGAGCACGTTTTGTGCGCCCACCAACAAACAAGCCCAGCCCCAACACAGTTGCTCACTTTTCCACACCATTCCGCAACCTTCCCGTTCTCGAATCGGGTCTCAAATTCCCCCTCCTCCTGAATACTTCCTTATTTTCAGACCCTTCATCCGCAGCTGCACCACTTTCAAGGCGTTTGTATTCCCAATTGACGATTGCTCCCGACAGCTGACGCCCTCCAGACACAAGTCCTGTAAACCGCCATCTCATAATTTTATCATGGCGCCTCTGGGTGCTCTTGCCGTCAGCCTTGTCTCCCCAATTGGGTGTCCGCCCAAGTGCGTCGGTGACTCCGTTTTGGGGGCCAAGACTCCGTCGGCTCCGTTCAGGGTGACAAGGTACCATGTCATTCCCGCAATTACAGCGTCGCGAAAATTTTACCTTTTCCTCTAACAACCTCCAACATCTTGCAACAAGAGTTATCTTTCCGGTAAAGCCACACCTCCTTTGTCCCGTAGTGCTTGTCGTTGCTGTCAATTCGCATGTGAATTACATCCTTCGTTGTCTTTTGTCCCGTTTCCCCTTCAGCTCCGCTCCCGTCGCACTTCGCCCTCCGACGCGTCTTCCCCTGAAGCGCTTTTCGCGGCTCCCCGCCACGTCATGTACCGCGGCAGAGGCGAGCCAGAGCGCCGGTGCCGCCGGGAGCACCGCCGCTAGCAGCGCGGATGACACGCACCGCAGCCGCAGCGACAGGAGCGGCAGTGGCGGCAGCAGCAATGGCGGCGGCAGCGGCTCGTCGTCGTCGTCGTCATCGGTGCCGTCGCCCTTCGCGTTCGTGGGGTTGGACTACTACCAGATCCTCGGCGTGCCCGTCGGCGCGCCCCCCGCCGACATCCGCCGCGCGTACCGCGCGCTGCAGAAGAAATACCACCCCGACATCGCGGGCGCTCAGGTGCGCTCAACGGTTGTGCGCGCGTCGATTTGACGTGCATGTCGCACACCTCCACGCGCAAGTGAAGGCTCGTCATGGGATTGGCCGAATGCCCAGCTTCGAAGCCCTCGAGCAGCTCAGACACTTGAGAGCAATCTCCGCTCCTCGCGTTCCGCCCCTCGCGTTCCGCCCCTCGCGTTCCGCCGCTCACGTGCCCAACCCTCCTGCCCACCGCCTCTTCCGCCCACCCGTCTTCTGCCCCACCACTCTCCGCCCATCGTATTCTCCCGCCCAGGCGCACGAGATGGCGCTGAAGCTGAACGAGGCGTACGACACGCTCATGGACGACACGCGCCGCGCGTCGTACGAGAAGGAGTGGCGCGACGCGGCCGTGGCGGGGTACGTGGGGTTCACGGGGCAGCCGCGCAGCGCGTGGGCGGCGCCGGAGGGGCAGCAGCAGGCGATCTTCGTCGACGAGGCTGCGTGCATCGGTGGGTGTGACTGTAGGTGATGTTCCTGTAATCGTCTGTGCTTGTGACGAATGGATAAGATGGCGTAATGATAGTGCGTGAATTCGCTCCCTTATCACCGGTCCACTTCCCGTCATCTCACCTCCTTCCCCCACCGCCATCCCCACGCCCACCCCCCGCCCCCGCCTGCCAGGCTGTCGCGAGTGTGTGTTCGCCGCCAGCCGCACGTTCCACTTCGACGCGGAGGCCGCCGTGGCACGCGTGCACACGCAGTGGGGCGACGCGCTGCCCGCCGTCCAATCAGCCATCGACAGCTGCCCCGTCAGCTGCATCCACACAGTGACACGTGGCGACCTCCCCATCCTCGAGTTCCTCGTGCAGGTCTCATCTGAACCCATTCAACCCCAGTTCTCTCTCCCCCCCCTCGCTTTCACTCCCTTTCACGCACCATTCACTCCCTTCTAGTCCCACTTATCCTCCCCCACATAGCATGCCCCCCATCTGATTCGCCCGCGCGTCTCACGTTCCCTGGCAGCCGCGGGAGAGGGAGAGCAAGGGCATCTTTGGGGGCGGCTGGGAGCCCGGGCACCCGATCAATATCTTCGCTGCTGCCCGCGAGTTCAAGCGCAAGCTAGAGAGCCAGCAGGATGGGGCGGAGCGCCGGCGGGCAGGTTGGTGCGGGCAGGGGAGAAAGTGGGCTGAGTGTGTGTTGCGTGCTCTGCACAACATTAAATCCTGCTACATTACGTGGTGTGATTGGACTTGCCTTATGCAAGAATGTGCTGCTCTGTGCCATATGTTACATGTTCTCTTCCTACCCTCAACTTCCTATCCTTCTCCTCCCTGCTCTCCCACAGCCACGTCAGCAGCAGAGCAGGAGACGCCAGCTCAGCGTGCCGCCCGTCAGGAGGCGGACGCGAGGATGAACGGTATGGGCGGCGGGTTTTGGCAGAAGTGGGCGCAGGCATGGGGGGCGTGGGGGGGACCAGGGGGGGAGTCAGGCGCGGATGGGGGGGAGGGCAGCTCTCAGTGGGCCAGGGCGAATGCAGCAAGCAGCACTGGCAGCAGCACTAATGGCAGCAGCGAGGGTAACAGTGAGGGTAGCCGTGAAGGTGGGAGGCAGGCAGGTGGGGGGAGGGGAGAGGAAGGAGGAAAGGGAGGAGGAGGAGGTGGAGGAGGAAAGGAAGGGAAGAAGGGGGGGTGGTTCCCGTGGCATGCAATGCTGGGCACAGCAGCATCGTCGGAGATTCTCAGGCAGCCGGCCGGGGAGGGAGCCAAGGAGGAGGTGAGAGGGGGACGGGTGTGGTGGTGAGTGGGGAAGGAGAGAACGAAGGGATGGGGCACAGCTGTGTTTTCTGTCATCTCGAAGTCTGTGCTTCAGTAGTAACTTGGTTTCACCCTCCTGTCTCCCCCCTCGTTGGCAGCACGCAGAATTCATTATTGTCAATTTAACCTTCCCACCTCCCCCTCCCCCCCATCCTACTCCTCCCCATCCTCCCCATTCTCCCCATCCTCCCCATCCTCCCCATTCTCCCCATCGTCCCCATCCTCCCCATCCTCCCCATCCTCCCCATTCCGCCCTACTGCCCCCATCATGCAGCTCATAGCATTCATTCAGCAGTGGGCCACGCTCTGGTCTTTTTCCTCCGAGCTGCCCCTTCCTCTGCCCGTCCGCGTGGACAACCAATCGGACGGCACCGAGCTGACGCTGGTCACCATGCGCGGCGATCTCCTCACGTCCGTCGGATCGTTCGTCATCACTGTGGAGCCGTTGGATGCTGATGCTCGTGGTGGAACTACTAGTGATGGTGGTGATAGTGGTGATGGTGGGGAGGAGGGGGAGTGGGTGGTGGTGGTGAGGAGAAAGGGGGCCGTAGACAACAAAGCTTTGCCAGGGGAGGGCACGATAGTGAAAGCACTGAGAGGAGCATTGGCAAGGCATGACAGCATGAAGGGGTATGAGGCGTACCATCTCCCCAGGAACAGCAAGGCTGTGCAGTAACCTAGTGGTGTACATATATATCGATTAAGTGTGCTGCTGTAACATATTGAAGGTTTTGAAGAAACATTTCCCTATTGTTGCTTCTGATTCTTCGTATGTAGCTTAGCTTTACTGTTTAAGAATGACTTCAGCCTGAAGTGAACAACGGATTTGATTTTGTAGTACAGATTACCACATTGAGGGTTGAGAGACGTGGCACACCCGACGAAGAAGGTGACGTGGCGGCCCTTCCTCAGTTCTTGGTCCACATCGTCGCTCCCTCCCCTTTCCTCCACACCGCATAAATATATCCTCGTTACAATGCAGTTCATTGCAGAATTGCTCAAAATTCATCCACTCCTCGTCATCGGAAGAGTTCAGGTCAGCAAGAGCCTGCGGGGAAAAGGAGTAGAGTGTTGAATTCAGCGACCGTCATCGCATCAATCATAGTAGCTAGCCAGCGCTAGCCTAGCAGCGCATCATCAGCAGCGTTTCTTGCGTCGCGGCACTAGCGTCGGCGATCCTCTCCGTCCACTCACTGTCCTCCGCTCCTTTCACGCGCCTCCAGGCGACTGGCATGCTCTCGCGCCTCCCCGCGCTCCTCTCGTTCCTCTTCCGCTGCGCGCGCGCCGTCCTCCTCCTCTTCCTCGTGCTGCTGTCCGACGCGCTCGGCTTTCCGCTCGCCACCCGGGTCGTGCGGCTGTGGGAGGAGTGGTTTTGCCGCCTCGAGCACCGTGAGGAGGAGTCGCATCGCGACGCCGAGTCGTATCGCTTGTGCTCGAATTGCTCGCTGCCTAATTCATCGCAGTCTGCCTCGTCCCGTTGCACAGGCGTCACAGGGAACACAGGGGTCACAGGAGACACTGAATTTACCTCGTCACAGGCGTTCACCTTGTTGACAGGAGGCACAGTAGTCACTCATTCCACCTCGCTGACGGCCATGGCGCATCGCCTCTGCGGCCGATGTGTCTCCTCCACCGCCTCAGCCTTCCCCGCCGCCAAATCTGCCGCTTTCCCCGCCGCAACTCACGCTCTCCACTCACACCTCTCCACCGCCACGAGCGGGAGCAGCCCCTTCGCGCATCGTTCCTCACCCCCCGTTCCGGTGCTCCGTAGGTGTCGCCCGACAGCCAATTACCCGCCGCCACGTGGCGCCAAGGCGTGGTGGTACCAGCCATGGCTGGCGCATTCCGCCGTTACCGGCGCGCGCAGGCTGCTCCCCGCCGCGGGGGGAGGGGGAGGCCCGGGGGGAGCAAGCGCGGGGGGGAGGCGTTACGTGGGGACGGTTCCGCCCGCAGCTGGCGGGAGGGCAGTGGGCGTGACGAGATGCGAGGGGGGAGGCGGCATGTACACGTGGCCTGATCCGACGGTCAGTAGGAAGCCACGGGGAGGGAGGAAAGGAGAATACTACGGGTGCATATCATGGATACGTTTCAGGGGATGCTTTAGCCAACTCTCGCATCCACCTGTCTGCGGGTTTCCCAGTGTCGCCGGCACCTCTCTCGCCCCTCTTCGTCCCCATCCTTCCGTCCCCCCACCTTCTGACTTTTATTCCACCACTCGGTCCCCCTCCCTTCCCGCTCTCCTCCCACCTTCTTCCCCGGATGTTGTTCTACATCTCACCCCTCCTCCCCCCTCTCCTCCGCTTCCCCTCCCCCCCTCGCAGAGGCCGCGAGTGTGTGTACTGGGCGGCGGGTTCGGGGGCCTGTATGCGGCGCTGCGGCTGGACTCGCTGCTGTGGAGCGACGAGCGCCGCCCACAGGTGCTGCTCGTGGACCAATCAGAGCGCTTCGTGTTCAAACCGCTGCTGTACGAGCTGCTCTCGCAAGGTGGGTACCCTGCTGGCTCCTTACCCTTATCTGCTGGCTCCTTACCCTTATCTGCTGGCTCCTTACCCTTATCTGCTGGCTCCTTACCCTTATCTGCTGGCTCCTTACCCTTATCTGCTGGCTCCTTACCCTTATCTGCTGGCTCCTTACCCTTATCTGCTGGCTCCTTACCCTTATCTGCTGGCTCCTTACCCTTATCTGCTGGGGGAGTGGCTTGAGATCTACTTGCTCGTGCTCTTTTGCCATTCTAATTCCTTTACTTATCCATTCTGCTCCTTGATTGCCCATCACCCGTTCCTCTCACTGCATGCACCAGTGCGTTGCAGTGCCTGCCCCGTTCTTATTTGCAGTGCCTGCCCCTCGCATTTTTTCCCTCCGTTACTTCTACCCGAAACCCAACACCCCCGTCCACCTCACTTTGATCCTCTCTCGCTCTCGCCTGTCCTCCCCTACTCATTCTCGTTCCCAGTCACTTTCTTCCCCACTCACTCTCTCTCCCACCAGAGATAGCACCCCAGTTCTTTCATTCTCTCACCCCCTCTCACGTCCATGCTCGCTCTCGCTCTATACTCCCGCCGCCCACCACCAGACGTCACGGTGTGGGAGATAGCACCCAAGTTCACGGACCTGCTCAGAACCACCTTCTGATCCCCTCTCTCGCTCAGAAGCTTTGAAATCCCCTCTCTCGCTCAGAAGCTTTGAAATCCCCTCTCTCGCTCCCCCATTCACTTCCTCGCTCCCCCATTCGCTCCCTCGCTCTACTCTCTCACCTCCCACCAGACGTCACGGTGTGGGAGATAGCACCCAAGTTCTCGGACCTCCTCAGAAGCACGCAAGTGGCGTTCCTGCAGGACGGCGTGCAGGCAGTGCACGTGATTAAGGGTGGGGCAGCTGACGTGGCAGGAGATAACGGTGGACGCGTGCGATTGGCTTCTGGAGTGGAGGTGGAATACGATTGGTAGGTTCATACCTGTCCCACCTGTCCCACCTGTCCCACCTGTCAGTTCACGCACTGCTCTTCACCCATTCTCACTCGTTCTTGCTTTCCCACTCTGCACTTCTCCTCCACCCTCCTCCTCCATGTTTCATGAGTCATACTCATACGCTCTTTTCCGTGCCCTTCCCACCTCTCCCTTACCTTCCCCTCCCCTCCTCTCTCCACTCACACCTCCCGGTCAGGCTGGTGTTGGCGTTGGGCGCTCAGACCAACATGGCCTTCGCACCAGGCGCCTCCCCCCTTCCATCCTCCCGTCTTCCTTACCTTCGCCTACTCTCTCCTCCCACTCTCCCTCCACCGACCCTCCCCTACCCCCCTGCCAGGCTGGTGTTAGCGTTGGGCGCTCAGACCAACATGGCCTTCGCACCAGGCGCCTCCCCCCTTCCATCCTCCCGTCTTCCTTACCTTCGCCTACTCTCTCCTCCCACTCTCCCCCCACCGACCCTCCCCTACCCCCCTGTCAGGCTGGTGTTGGCGTTGGGCGCTCAGACCAACATGGCCGTCCCGCCAGGCGCCAAGGGGCGAGCTCTGCCCTTCAGCACCCTCGACGACGCTCTGGTACGCTGCGGCAGAGTACGGTAGAGTGAGGTAGACTGGGGTGTAGTGCGATCTTCTCTGGTCTCATCTCGTATTTGCATGGCATATCTGTGAGGCGGTCGGTGCCATGGTTGTCAACCTGCACGTGGAGCAAAGCAAGGCATGCTTGGCTAGCTGCTTTACACCAAGGTGACTTTTGACTAACATCAAAAGTCACCTGCTTTACACCCCTCCCAAGACTAACATCCCTCCTCCTCTCTCCACCCCTCCCGCACCACCTTCACTCCCCGTACCTCCTCTCGCTCCCATCACTCCCTCCTCACAGACGGTGGATCGGCAGCTGCTGCTGCTGGAGAAGCGGTGGGAGGCGGCCAAGGAAGCAGGCGAGGACCCCCCGCCCATCCGAGTGGTGGTGGTGGGGGCGGGCTATGCGGGCGTACAGCTTGCATGCACCTTGGGGGAGCGCCTGGGAAGCAAGCACGGGGACTCAAAATGCTGCTGCTGAACTCCCTACCTGCTCTCTCTCCCTCTCACAGGCAGTGGATCGGCGTTTGCTGCTGCTGGAGAAGCAGTGGCAGGCGGCCAAGGAAGCAGGGGAGGACCCAGCGCCCATCCGAGTGGTGGTGGTGGGGGCGGGCTATGCGGGGGTGGAGCTCGCGTGCACGGTGGGGGAGCGGGTGGGCAGTAAGGGGAGCATTGAGATTGTCGACCCCGCTGCTGCTGTGTGCCCCGCTGCTGCTCCTGGCAACAGGCGCGCTGCAGAGAGGGTATGTTTCTTCTGTATGCCGGATAATAAATCCCCACTCCTGCATTTTTCCCCGCTTTCCTCGTGGGTTGTCCATCTCCCCCTTCCTCCTCTGTGTTCCTCCCTCCTGTGTGGTTCTCCCTTGCTCCCCTTCCACCCTGCCACTGCAACTCGTGCTCGGCTGTCCCTCTGGTGCGATCTGTCCTTACCGTCCCTCCTTCTGCCCCCCCCCCTTTGCCGGGCACAGGCGCTCAAGGAGAGGGGAGTGCAACTGCGCCTGGGCACCAAGGTCACACGCATGGCGGATGCCACTCACTCCTCCTCCCCCTCCTCCTCCTCATCATCATCATCATCCTTATCAGCCGCCTCCTCATTCCCCCATTCGGACTCAGACTCATCTCCTTTCGCCGTGCCAGCAGCGCGCCTCTTCCTCGAGGCAGCATCACCCGGCAGCACTGGGAAGGAGAGTGAGAGTGAGATGGAGGCGGATATAGTTCTCTGGACCGTCGGCAGCTCGCCTGTGCTCCCAGCCTCTGCCTCAGAAGAAGCTTTATCAGAAACATCAGGAGGAGCAGGGGGAGCGGGAGGGGAGGGGGCGGTGCAGTGGTTGAGGAGGACAGCGAGGGGGCAGGCGGATGTGGAGGAGAGTCTGAGAGTGAAGGGGCTCACCAGGGTGTTCGCCCTTGGGGATGCCGCATGCGTGCCGGACGGCAACGGGCGGCCACTGCCGGCCACAGCTCAGGTGAGAGCTCTCGGGTGATGCTTGTCAGGTGATGCTTGTCAGGTGATGCTTGTCAGGTGATTTTCCATATTTCCTGTAGAACCAGTCACCACAAGCTAGTGTTCACGGTTCATCATCTGCTTTCCTTACAGTATAATGGCACATTATTCCGTCTCTTCAGGCACCCTTCCGGCAGGCTACCTGAGTCTGTCGGAGCACATGGGCCGGTCACAACCAAACCAACTCCTAATACTCTCACTCTCTTTTCTGGCCACAACTCCCGTGCATTGGTGACCATGACAGGTGGCATTCCAGCAGGCGGACTACGTGGGGTGGAACATCTGGGCTGCCATCAACAACCGCCCCCTGCTGCCCTTCAGGTGAGAATGCTTTTTTGAGAATTCTCAAAAAACAGGTGAGAATGCTTCCCTCATTCATGTTATGCACATGGCTTCTCCAGCTGTGCACGTGTCAAACTCGCTCACTGTTCACAATGATTCCATCGAAAGCACCATGGCAATAGCACCCTTCCGGATTTCACTATGATTCAGCCATCGCTTGTACCACCTTACTGACTCTCTGCCTGCACGTGTCCCTTCCCCCAGGTACCAGCATCTGGGCGAGCTGGTGCTGCTGGGGTCCAAGGATGCAGCAGCCTCCGTGGGCTTCATTGATGACTTTCTCATTGAGGGGCGCGCGGCGCACACAGGTGAGTGGCACACACGCATCACAGGTGTTTCGGGCTAGATGCATTCACTCAGACGCATCACTGCCTGTAACTTCGTGAACAAAGCTGAGCACCTTGGTTGGTGGGCTTCATTGATGACTTTCTCATTGAGGGGCGCACTGCACACACAGGTGAGCAGTCAGTGCCATTTCTGCCTGCAACTTTGAGTGCATGTCTAGCACCTGCATCTCTTCTATCATTGCCTGCACCGTGTTATGCTACTCCTGTTTCATACATTTTCGTCTGTTTGCCTCTCCACTCAGAGCCCATTGGTTCCTTCTGTCCTTGCGACGCCCGCCCCCTATCTGTGCATTGACCCCTGTGCTTTCCAGCTCGCAAGCTAGCATACCTGTACCGGTTGCCAACCAATGAGCACAGGGCACGTGTTGGGGTGAGCTGGTTGACACGTGCCATTGTGGACGGCATCTCAGAGGCGCAGAACCTTCTGGCAGCTGCTACCAAGGGTCAAGGGGACAAGAAATGAGCTGTAGATGTGCCATGCCAACCAGTTTTTGGTGTTCCAACTTGATGTTACGGTACATCCCTGGTCCATGAATGTACTCATTCAGGAAATATGCACTCTGAGTTCAATTCAAAGTGTCGGAAGAGGAGACAGAAGGTGACGGAAACAATGAGGCGAAAGCGCTTTTCTAAGGCGATGGGATGAGAGGTGGAACACGAGGGTGACGGGATGGGAGTGGAGAGATGATGGGCGTGTTTGGACTTCACCATTTCATAGTCTCGTTAAAAGATATAGTACGGTGACCTGAGTGGTTGGTGTACACAGAGCATCAGTTATGCAACAACATTTATTCTTGCCCTCGGGAAAGCAGAGGAATGGTTACACAGTAACAATCAATTTTTTCCTTGGGTAGGCAACATACATACCTTTTCTATCTTCATGTTCCTTCAGTTTCAGATGTTATTTGGCTAGCAGACTTTCAGTCTGATAAACAATGTTATATAGGTAGGTCGTTACAGGTTTACACAGCAACTGCAGACTTGGAGATGATACGCTCATATGCTTCACGGAGCTTCAGGCCGACCATCGTCTGGAAGAGGCCAGTGCCGTTGGTGCTGCCAGGGAAGGTGGCGTTCTTCAGCATTTGCTGGGTCACCTCACCGTAGAACTTCGTCGATGTGTTGCTCAAGTGGCTCTCCACGTAGATGAGCTCGTCAAGCTTATCGAACTGCCCGTCCATCTCCAGCACAGACACCTGAGAAACGCAGCAGCGTGAAAGTTAGCTAAAGTTGATAACGGTTACGATGTGCTAAAGGTATTTATTCTTGTCAAGTGCACTGCATTACTCAGGTTTATGCAAGGAGCCGCGAGTGAGCGTACCTCGTTTCCGTAGTAGGTGTCAGGGCCGTAGTAGAACTTGATGCCGGGGTACGAGCATGTCAACTTCCTTCCGCAGGGAATCCATGAAATGCTGGAGCCCTCGTCGAACAGGTACACGGGGTCGAAGTTCTCGAGTCCCTCCTTCTGGATCATGCGCACGCGAAGGATCTTGCCCTCGTTGTCGTCAGGAATGAGCTGAGTGGGGAGCACCTGGATAACAACATCCGCGTGCTGCTTCTGGGGATCTGGATATAGCAGGGGAACAAAATTGTAGAGGTTAGCGAGTTGGCCTGCAGGTCCGTGGGGAATGAGATAGGACAAATGCTTACCAATGAAAGCATCGAAGTCGGGCTTTCTCGCTTCAATGGATGCCTTGATGCTCTCCAGGCTGTGGCCACGCTCAGCCATGTCCCTCTGAATCTTCCAGGCAAACTTGACCTCATCGCTGATGTCAAGGTAGATGCTGAAGTCAATCAGGTCACGCACGCGCTCATCATACCTGAAAGAACAAAAGGCATGCTCGGTCAGTCTGGTTGTACGCACGCGCACTGCAATTCTGAAGGATAAATGCGGAGATTACATACATGGGGTGGAGACCCTCAATGACCAGAATCTTGGGGGACTCGATCAGTTCGGGGGGGTCCAGAAGGCCAGACACGTGGTTGTAGATGGGCTTCATCACGGACTTCCCCTCCTTGAGGGCCTTGACCTGCTCGTACATCAGGTCAAAGTCGTTGGCCTTGGGGTCAAGAGCGGTAACATTGGCGACCTTACGGCCGTTACGGTCAAGGGAGTGGTAGTCATCGAGGCAAATGACGGTCGTCATGTCGCTAAGAAGGGTGTTGGAGTCGGGGTTGCCACCCTTGGGAGGAGAAGCATTGCCACCGAACACGCCAGTCATGCGCCTCATGAAGGTAGACTTTCCGCATCCTGAGTCAGCGGCAAGTCCAACCACAACAGTCTTCTCACCAGCGGCCTTGCACACAACAAGGACGGTCCGCTTGGCTGCAGCGTGGGACCTGCTGGAGGCCTTAGCGGCAATCTGCTTGCCTGAGAAGGTGCTGCTCAGGGACGCGCTGTGCATCTCACTGCCGAATGCACCCACGCTCTTCTTGGGAGCAGCGGCCTTGAGGCCGAGTGCCTTCGTCTGAATGCCAGCAGACACGGAGCTGGAGAGAGCGGCAGCCATGGTTGGCAAGTGACAGAGCTACCTTGGAGATTGTTCCTCTGACAGAAGGGCTGCCAGTCTATGCAGGAAATGGCAAACCAAACACAGAGGGGCCACAGGAGATGTCAAAGAAGCTGTGGTCAGCGCAAGCCTGATCCATTGATGGAAGGCTGCCAATGACTCCACTGAATGACGTGGCCCGAGCCTACAAGGCACTTCCCGAGCAAAGTAACCCACTAGTGGAGCACCACAAGTGTGGAACCTTGATTGTTATGAAAACTGATCTGTCACCGTTCCAGACCTCTGACATAGGCTTGTGGACACCCGAGGAACCGTTCGCATTGCCACGTAAGGCAAAATCAGTCCACGTAGAGATGGAACCTTTCATTCGCACCATGTGTGACTCATCGTAGCCGTCGTGGGTCTGCGGACCTCATTCGTTTTTGTGCTTTTCGCGTATATCTGATCAGCACGCGGAGAGTTTTCAAGCGAGACATCAGGTTAGTCAAAAGGCTGTGTAGCTCAGCACATACAAGAAAATGCATACAAGAAGTTGTGTTCCATGATGCGAGTTGTTAATCTCCGATTTTCTGTCTATACGAATCCTGTAATGACAAAACAACTAATAAATATTGATATAAACAATAATCTAAAAAACAAAATGCTAGCCGCCGAATTTATGGTTTCAAATTCAAACTCGATCTAGAGTTCAAAAGTCACAGTGATTGGCAAGTGAAGAAATGTGTGAATTTCCAACTGAAGCGGATCTGCTTTTGATGGTGTAAACCAAAGCTCCTGCAGAGAACCCTGGGCAGATGCACTTTTCCAGGTGGGCGGCTGGTTATCTGAGAGGCTGGTGTTCGCTCCGAGCTCACCGACATGGAGAGTTGGAGGAATCACCAAACAAGACAAAGCCACGTCAACTGCAATGGTGTCAGCAAGTTCCGCTATAAGTTTCTCCTTCTGGGGTTGTGCTTTGCTGCCGATTTGTCACGCTTTGCATTTACAAGAACGAGTGCAAGTTGTGGTCAGAAGCTGCTGCTAAGCTTGTGTCGCAAGCTCGTGTCGCGGGTTCGGGAAGGCTGATCAAGCCCGCAGCGGTTTGGTGTAGGCTCGGTAAGGGAAGAAACACCTGCCTGGTTGGTCGTTGGAGATACCGCCCGTGCGGTAGCGCGTCGCCATACCTTCCCAGCTGTTACTTGCAAAACTTAGCCAATGGAAGCAGGAAGTTTCTGCCAGCACGGATTTCCGAACCATATCACCGACCATGGCTCGTGTCTGACTCAAGCAGATTTACCCCTTGAACAAGCCTCCGCAGGCTCGGCTGGGCTCAGGTTCGGCTTCCCTCACAGTCGCCACAGAGGTCCCTTCTTCCCCCTCCCGCCGCACATTTATCTTACGCGCTTCCAACACAAGATTGCCATTCGGTTCAGTTCAGCGCAAATTTATTGAGCTGATTGAAGCAGACTTGTGGAAGGTTGAGACTTCTGGCAGGTGAAGCGAGACAGCACTGCTCTCGGGTTGCAAACACTCACTACATCTCGCTCAGTCAGAGTCTCTCACCGCATCTCATCATGACTGGAAGACGAGAGCGCCAGACCGTGGCGTTTCTACTGCTCCTCTCGACAATGTCACTCGCCACCGCACAAATCCTCCCCGCCGCAACCAACTACTCCGCTTCCACCGCCGCCACTACGACTGCAGCGACAACGGCGGCGCCCATCGCAACGGCGGTGGCGGGCGCGCTGTCTTCGTGCAGCAAGTCCGCCATGCCTGGATTCACCTCTGCCCTCAAACTTGCCCCAGGGTAAGCTGCGATGAAACACGTGAGCGTCTAGTAGTTGGCGTACAAAATCACTTTGCTTCAAAAGGGTAGCGCCGCGTCGCTTAATATCAGTCTTAAATCTTGCGTTTGTGAACTTAAAAACGACAACGATAAGGGCAGGTTGGCGGAGTGCCGCCACGAAAAGTGCAGCTAAAACCACCATACGTAGGAATCGGAATGGCATCCCATGTCCTAGTCAACATTAACCCCTATTCCCGCTCTTCCCCCCCCCCCATCCCCCCTCCCTCTCCCACCTCCTCCCCCCCTGATACAGCATCGTTATGCACTGGAACGCCAACAACAACGGCAAGACCATTCCGCTCGCCGTGGAAGCCTCGGGCGCCGCGGCGCGCGGATGGTTTTCCGTCGCATTCTCCTTCAGCGGACTCATGGCGCCCTCCGACGCAGTCGTCGGGAACCCTGGAAACGCCGTCTCCGCGTACCACGTGGCGAGCTACTCTTCCGTCGCGCCCGCGAGGGGGGTCGACCTCGGCGCCAAGAGCTGCGCAACGAGCGGCGGGAAAACCGTGATGAAATTCACGCGAGGCGTGGGCGACGGAGGGTCCGTTCCCGTGCGAGTGAAGGGCATCAATAAGATCATCTGGGGTTACTCCACGAACGGCGGCAAGTCCGTCGCGTATCACGGCGCCAACATGTGAGCCTCATATTAGACGAGCCGTGATCCCACTATTCCATATCTTAAACTCACGAATATCCTGCGTTCCGCCACGTTGAGAGCTTCCACTCTCGCCCCTCGAATCAACTTGCCCATGCGGTTACTGCACCCTCTTCCATCGCTTCCTCGTCTCACGCTCTTCTCTCCCACCAACCCTCCTCCCCCTCCCCTCTGCCCCCCAACCCCCCCGTTCCCCGTCTTCCCCCATCAGCGGCAGCACGCAGGTGAATTTCGCGTGCAACGGCGCGTCGCCCGGCAAGCCGACGCCCAGCCCGCCGGTTAAGAAGCCGCCGCCCGTGCCCGTGGTGCCGCCCTCCCAGCGCTCCAAGCTCTGCCCCTGGTCGACGCTCCCGGGGTTCACGTACATGCTCGAGCTCAAACCCCTGTGAGTCGACACTTTGTGCGTGTGAGCGATGTGTGATGAGCAATGAGTGAGTGTTCCCCGGTCTTGTGTGTTCCGTCTGCTGTTTTCTGAGCGCCGTCTCACCAAACCTTTCCTTCTCTCCCTCTCTCCCTCTCCCCATCTCTTCCTCGTGATCCCTTCACTCTTTCAAATTCTCCGTCCAACCAGTCTGCTGGTGCAGTGGTTGCAGGTGAATCGGGACGTCACCGTGACGTGCATTCCGTTTCTTTGTGTCGACTCACCACACCTCTCTCTTTCCCTGTGACCCTGGATTTCCTTTCAACCAGCCTGCTGGTGCACTGGCGGCAGGTGAACAAGAACGTGATCGAGCTGGCAATGGAGGCCAAGCCGGGCAGCGGCGCCAACAACGGCTGGCTCTCGCTCGCCTGGAGCAGCAGCGGCAGGATGGCGCCGGCTGACGCGATCATTGGTAACCGCATGGGCGGCACGCTCGGCAGCTACCTGATCACGGGCTACACGATGCAGTCGCTGAAACCCGCTGCCATCCCCTTGGGAGCTTACCCCACCGTGTTCAAGAGGGGCACTGGTTCCACTGTCATGATGTGAGTGCGCGTGTGACTGGGGGGTGTGTGGGGGGGAGGAAAACCCTGCTATGCTACTGGGGGGCTGTGCGGTTTAGCATGGTATGGCATTTAGTAGCCCCTCCGTGGTGCCGGCATCAGTGATGGCGGTAGTAGAGACTCAAGAGGCTGTGTGGTTTCGAGCTTACAGCCCCACTGACCCGAATGTCTCTTGATCCCCCTGCCCTCCCATGAATCTCCCACACTCAAACCCCATTCTCCCTTCTCCTTTCTCTGTTTCGACAGGTTCCGCCGCGGTGCCAGCGGCGGCACTATTCCTGTGAATCCAACCGGACTGAACAGCCTCATCTGGGCCCACTCGCCCTCCAACAGCAAGACACTTGCTTACCATGGCGGCAGCGTGTAAGTCACTTTTACTCTGCGTACTTGTAGTGCCAGGGAGGCAGCAGGTTTTGCTCGTAACCCTCAAGTCGCCCTGCTTTCAGAAAGTGCCGGAAATTGAGTCCCTGCGCCTAACTGCGTGTCGTGTTCCTCTGCTTTTCCTCTGCAGTGGGCGGGCAACCATCGACTTCTCGTGCAAGGTGGCACCTGTCTCAAGTGGCGCTGGGGATGATGATGGTGGGAGTGATGATTAGCCCATTCATTGTTTGTGTAGTATACAGTGCTTGCATTCTGCTTACAACTGTCTAAAAGGAAATTATCAAGATGTGATTGCTATACAAGGTTTCAGTCCTCATCAAGGTTCTTTGCAAAACCTCACAAAAAAAACTCTGAAGAGACAAGAGATCAGTCGCCCCCATCCACACTTTTCACAGGGGAACATCGTAGCAGCCTCTTCCTGACAAACCACCCTCCTGTCCATTTTCACATCACCCCCCCCCCACCCCCCCCCCCCCCCCCCCCTCTCTCCAGTCACTCTCATCGTCACGTCCAATCCAATCCCCCCCGCCTCCTCTTATCTCTTGCGGCCACCCCCTACGTCCCCACCCTGTTAGAATCACTAGCTAGGTGAGGATGTCGATTAGGTAAGGGGGAGAGGTACAAGGACTATCGAGAGTGAAATGTTGTATCCTCTAAGGAAAGAACCCTACACAACCTAGAGTGAAATAAGCAGAACAATATACATAGGTGAAGTAGGGGATAGCCAAACCTAACAGTGGTCACAAGATCAGTCAAGCAAGAGAACAAGCAAGGCAAAGCCCAGGGTGGATCTCAAGGACACCACACAATCTGAGCACAAGCAGGCGGCCACAAGGCCAGTTCACATGCAAATTTATAATAGCAAGGCAGTACACAGATCACAACCTAGCAAGAGTAAACATGCAGGTATAAAGATATATAGCAGTGTACAACAAGAGCAAGTCAAGCAACCAGCAGGTGAGGCAGAGTGGGCACAAGCCCAAGAGCAGTGCAGAAACGCTGATGATCACCAGCCGCAAGGGCCTTGGTGAAGACATCAGCAGTGTTGGCCCGAGAGGCCACGAAAGCAAGGCGCAGCTGACCACGCTGCTGCAGCTCACGCGCAAGGAAGTAGCGCAGAGCAATGTGCTTCGTTCTGTGCTCCAGTCTCTGCTC